AGGATTACATTCTTCTACCAGGCTGATGAGATCTTGGTTTATCTGAAGGGCCACATCTCCGGCAATGCAGCACCCCACCACCCAGCACTCCATTGGAGTATCATCTTACACTGATTCCAAATGCAAATGTGGAGCTTGAACCCACAACCATCTGACTCAGATGCGAGAGTGTTACCACTGCGCCAGGCTGACACGCTTGGTGTCTCAATCCCATTTCATAACTATTTGTCTGACCTGGCTGTGTGCAAATTAGCTGCTACAGGAAATACTGCACTTCAAAGTAAAATCTTGTGAAGCACATTGAAACATCTCAGTAAAGTGATAAGGTCCTATACCAAATGCAAGGATTATTATTATTCTAAAACAATAAATCAAACACTGTTTCTAACTCTCATACTTCTCAATTGATTTATTTCTCAAATAACTATCCAATTCCTGCTTGAATTTGCTGGCACAAATTGGAACTGCTCAAGCTGAACAAGTAGATAGATAGCTGGAGGAAACTGTAATGTGATAATCAGGGGAATTTTAACATCCCACAAGTAGACAAATGTGGGTCAACCAGAAGGGAGAGCCGAGTGTACAAGAAATTTCATAGAAGCCATCAATTTCTGCTTCGTGACATGACGTATATAGCAACGCACCAGAGCAGCTGTTCTACAGTATTAGATTCAATGTTTCGCAGACCACCAGTAGTGAATGAACACTGCTGGGACCAGTAATTAAGGTATAGTTCTGTTTGATGTTGTATTAAAGGACATGACCAAAAATAACAATATCAAGGTGCACGGTATATAAAAAATATTTTTCTGAAGCATTAACTAAACTAATGAATGGGTGATAAACGGTGAACATTATTTATTTTGATTTTGATTTTGAAAAGGCATTTTACTGGAAACTTGTGGGAAGCCAACTAACTGGACTGAAAACTGCCTTGGCATTTGGAAGCAGAAGGTGATGATAAATCGAAAAGCTTTGCCTGTGGAGCTGGGAGGTTTTATAATGATCTGTTTTTGCATATTTTGCTCTTCATAATGTTAATAAATTACTTGCAGGAGAATATTTCTTGTCATATTGTAAGCGTGCTTATGTTACCAAATTATTTATGTGCCAGGTTGTAAATATCAGCATTGAAAAAGACCTAGATTGATTATGCAGGGACAAGGAAGTGAAGCTGGATTTGAGTGTAATTGGAATTGCAACAGCAAAATGTGTACTTGATGAGGGGTATCAGGTACCAAAGGAGAAGGGAAAGGAATTGAAATGTATTGTTAACTATTCACTGGATATATTTAGTCAGTGGAAGCCTTTATCATCAAAACAGAATTGTATATTTAGTTATATATTGGACGATGAAAATATGATATTTGTAAACTGGATTTTTTGCATTAATTCCAATTGACTGAAGGTGGCAAGATTAAAATGTTTGTATTCCTAAAGTCAACAAAGGTCAAAAATGGTGTGGCACTTTTTTCTGCTGTTTGTCAGACTCTTGAAGCCTCTTCATAGCTTGAAAAAGCCCTGAAAGCAAAATACCGTCCTTGATCACAATTTCTGGTGTTGCATATTGTTCAATATATTGGAAAGGATTTTATTACACAATATGTAATAAAACGCTATTGGGAGACCTTTAGCACATGTATACCAAAATCAAAGTGAGAACAATAAATGTTAAATTATCTATGTTTGATAATTGTGGATTATAAATCTAATTCAGTACTCATCTCTATCCTTTGGGTCATAGATTATAATAATCCTTGCATTTGGTATGGTGCTTTTCACATAAAAATTAAAAAAAAAGCTCCACAGGATTTAGTGTATATTTAGGCGCAGAGAACAGCAGTGTTCCGCAAACAGCCATGAAGTGAATGTTCAATTTTATCTGAGGGATTATTAATCAGGACACCGAAAGAAACCTTTCTCTTTTTTAGTAGTGTCCATGGGATCTTCAATGTTCCCCTGACAACATTTATCCACCTGAACAGGCAGACAGAATCTATGGCTTAACGTCTCTTCCAAAGGACGGCACCTCTGACAATGCAGGGATCCCACAATGATATTAGAGTGTCAGCCCACACAGTGAGCCAATACAGGACACATTTACATTCATCTTTTCCCTGATATCAATCTTCCCAGAAATTACCAATTTTTGTGTGTGTGTGTTTTTAACAGTTTAGGAATTTCCTTTTTACACAAGATCATGTGCAAAACACATTGAATCCTTTCCTTGTTTTAATTCTCTAAATGATATAATATGAATACAGAGCGGTTGCTTTTTTCCAATTTAACCAGCAAAATTGAGGAAACTTGTTGAGAAACCATGAACAGTTTTGAATTAACAAATTAACTCGACAAAGCCCAAGTAATAGCCTGTCCTGTTCACATGGTGCTGATAGACCTGTAAAGGAGACACTGATGAGAGGAGTCATCAGATTATGTTGGTGATAGATGTGCATTGGCAACCTTTCTGACTAAATTAATGTATCTGTCAGGGAGCACCTCTCCAAACATTCTACAGTTTATTGACCATGGTCTCTGCTGGTCAGGAAATACACCAAAGCAGTCGAGAATCATTCTTCTGATGTCGCAAAATGCAAAATTAGTCAACTTCCCAAGAATTGAGGCCAAATGTCAATGTATCTTTTGATGGCACAAAACAAATTGACTAAACATCAGCTGTATTTACATGGGTGAGAACATTATTGTGCTGCCTTATTGATTCAATTTGATCTTGTTGACAAAGAAACCTTCATTATCAACGCTAGGCAAATATATCTATCCAGGACTTAATAACCACTGCTCAGCTAATCAGAACCATTGATTTTACTTAATAAGTCACCGATGAAAAATGTGACACTTAACAGTTAAAAGGGACAATTTGAAGGATGCAACATTTGTAGGGAACAAACCATTAAGAAAAAAGTTAAAAGTTTGTCGAATATCAGGTGTTCTATATTAAATCTGCACCCTATCTGCTTGAATTATGAAACACAACTCTGTTTACCTAGTAGTAAGTAGGAACCTGGTTGTTAGTCAATTGACGGATCGCTTTTCCGGGGATAATAATCCTTCGAAAAAAAATTTGCTCAATACAACAACAATACAACAACAACAACAAGATTCCATTTATAAAGCGCCTTTCACGTCAGGAGGACGTCCCAAGGCGCTGCACAGTTGGGTCATGACCCGAGCAGGGGGGGAAATGGTCAGGGTGAGGGGAGGGAAGGGAGGGAGCAGGGAGGGGGGAAATGGTCAGGGTGAGGGGAGGGAAGGGAGGGAGCGAGGAGGGGGAAGAGAGTCGAGAGGGGAGCTGAAGGCACGGTCAAAGAGAAAGGTTTTGAGACCGGCCTTGAAGGAGGAAAGGGAGGAGGCGGCGAAGGCACTGGGGGATGGAGTTCCAGAGCCTGGGGGCTGAGAGGCTGAAGGCCCGACCACCGATGGTAGGGCGGTTGGGGCGGGGAACGTGGAGCAGACCAGAGCCAGAGGAACGGAGGGTACGGGCAGGTAGGTAGGGGGATAGTAGGTTGGAGAGGTAGGAGGGAGCGAGGCCGTGAATGGCCTTGTAGGTGAGGATGAGGATCTTGAAATCAATCCTCTGGGGGATGGGGAGCCAGTGGAGGCGAGCGAGGGTGGGAGTGATGTGGTCCCGAAGCCTGGTGCGGGACAGTACACGAGCTGCAGAGTTCTGAATGATAATGAAAATGAATGAAAATAAAATACACGACTGTTTGTGGGACACTGCTGTGTGCAATTGGCTGCCGCGTTCGCCCACAAATATACAGTCAATTCACTTTACAGTATATTCTGTGAAGCGCTTTGAGACATCTAGAAGATGTGAAAAGTGCTATTTCAAATACAAGATTTTTTGTTTTTTAAAGGCCCTTAAAGATTGTGCTCTATTGACAAAGAAGGCCTTGTTTTAACCAACTATATTTTCAGGTTATAAGAAACATGTTGAATTTTTTTTTCCAGTTCAGTGTAGGTTAAAGTTTCCTTTTGGGGTATTGTCTGTGGAGTGACAGTACCAGTTCTCAGCAATTTCAGTTTCAGGATACATACTCTCTCAATTGTTACTCCCAGTCCTAGTTCATTTGTACGATTCTTGAGTGTTTGGAGTATTTTGCTATTGATTTTCACTGATATATTTTCCTAAAATCTTGTGTTGTGTGTGTTTGTGTTTCTCATGACATTTGATCCCCCCTGATGCGTCTATAGAATTTCCTATTACCTCTTGCTTGGAACATTAAAAAAACATATCCTAAATAGAGCAAACTGAGAACAAATAGCTTTAAATCTAAATGCTGAAAAAAAGATTAAAGATAAGATTTTCTTTTGGAAAATTGCACTCAATTGATTCAATTTGTTAACTAACGAAAGATAACTCTTAAAGTTCTGCTGAGAGCTTTATGTAGTGTTAAATGTTCTCCTCCTCATGTTGTGGACCAGAGTGGTGAAATCTAGGTTTATAGACATAAACCCAGTATCTCGTACATTGATTTAATAATATCTACCGTAACGTGAGCAGGCATTGAGTGGAGTAAGGTGCTTTCACCTTACAGTGTAGACTCCTTCTGTCCATGAGACACAGAAATAAAGCTCTTGTGGGATGTAATACAGTATTAACTGACCCCTATATTATAATAGCACTTGGCATGAGGACACATGCTAGTGCACAAAGCGTACAATGTTGGGCTGTGTTCTCTCGGACGCTTTTATTTTATTTCCCGAGCAGAGCCAGGATTGATGCCTGCTTTGTGCATATTTAGCTGACACACAATCCTTTCACAGACAGTGTGTGGTGCTAAGTTATGTGAAAACTGAAAATAAAACAGTTAGATTGAGCATTTTTTTTCTAAGCAATAGTGCGCAGGATGTCTAACTCATAAATTAGTAAACCATTTTCTACTTATAGCCTCTCGCCACAGCCCCAGGGGAATGAGCAGTGACAGCAATAAACATCATTCTAGCTTTCCATGAAGTCATGTGTTTATATTTCACAGGGAGATGGTCAATGCATGGTTTGCAGAGCGAGTTCACACTATTCCCACTACAAGGGAGACTGCGAGAGAAACCAGCCCATCATATCAGTTGGCCCGAGTTGAGAACACAGCCCCCGGAATTCCCACCAGGAAAATCTCTGCTTCAGAATTTGACCGGCCCCTCAGACCTATTCTTGTTAAAGACTCCATCGGGGGGTTAACGTTCGTCTTTGATTCGGATAAAAAGGAGCAGCTGCCTTCAAAAGTGCACAAAGTTGACTGTGAGGCCATGCCGGTCAGTGATCAGTGCTCCAGACTTTTAGAACTTGTCAAAGATATTTCCAGTCATCTGGACGTCACCACGCTATGCCACAAGATCTTTCTCCACATCAACAAAGTCATTGAAGCTGACAGGTATTCACTCTTCCTGGTGCATGAGGACAGCTCCAATGAGAAGTTTCTCGTGAGCCATCTCTTTGATGTTGCAGAAGGTTCCACCCCTGAAGAAACCTCGAACAACTGTATTCGGTTGGAGTGGAACAAAGGAATTGTCGGTTGTGTGGCAGCTACAGGCCAGCCGTTGAATATCAAGAATGCATATGAGGTATGTCATGGACACAGCTTCATGCTGAGCTCAGAACTACCCACTGTTCCTCTCTTAAACAATGCAGATGCTCTTGTTGCTAAGGCTCATTCAACTTGTTGGTGAGTCCAAAACTAGAGGGCATAAATATAGGATAATTATTAGTAGATCTAAGGGGTAGATCTAAAGAGGAACTTCTTCATGCAGAGGGTCATGACAATGGGAAACTGGTTGAAGCAATATATTTAAGAGAAAACTTGAGGTATACTTTAAGGGAGAATAGAGGAGAAAAAGAGGGATGGAGACTTGTGTGGAGTATAAATACTGGCAACAGCGACAACAACAACCTGCATTTATATAGTGCCCTTCACGCAGGATAGAGTCTCAGAGCACTGAACAGTGGGAGTTGAATAAAGTGCAAGGAGGAGGGAGAGGTGATCGTGGGTGGAGTTGAAGAGGTAGGTCTTAAAGGTGAGAGTTAAACATAGATGAAGAGTTGGTGAGGACTAATTAAGCCTAATGGCCTGTTTCCAACTGTATCGCTTTATGTAACGCTCTGCAACTAGTAGGACCACTCTTCCTGTTTGGACTTAATCTCCCGGGCTTGACAATATAATTGTAATTTGGAAAAAATACAATGAAATCTAATTTCTCTCATGTGATGTCAGTCAGAATAATTTTCTATATTTATTTTGCAAAGTGGAATTAGATGCATTTGGAGCATTGGGAAAACATCTTGGGTAGGTGAGATGAGATGCCCTGCACCCTTTCAAGGTTGATCAAATGAGTATCATGCGTACAGATACCCTCTCTGTATGTGGGTATGCAGGGTCTGAGGTTGTGAGAAGACATGTCGAGTATAGTTAGGCAGCTTCACACCAATTCAACCTGCCTGGTTTATCAATAAGTATTGCAAGTGTGAATATTTGCTAAGGCCATACTCATAACAGCTAAGGTGATCCTATTTGAACACATACTGTGAAATGTGCCAGAACTTTGTATAGGTAAGCTGTACAGTTAAAGTAAACTCACAATCTTTAGTGCAGAACTGTCCTCAAGGGGTTAGCATTCAACAATACAACGCAGCCAGCCATCTGTTTATAGTCAACGGAAAATGGCACAGCCAGAAATAAACAAATTATTCCGACTTTAAATCGTCTTCAAAGAAAACTGAAGCTAGTCCAAGTCATTAAAAGAGATGTATCTTTGATAAATTCACTTGTAAACTCCCTTTACAGTTCAGCAGCCTTTACAAAAATATATTTTTGGCAAACTGAATCATGGAAACATTTACCTCCTTAGCAACAGCTTATCTCCAATGGGCAAGTCTGTTAACAATGATGATTTCAAGAAACGGGCTTGTTTTATTGTATTGAAGCTCACTTAAATTGTTTGTCAGAACATTTCATCCTACAGTATTAACCAGAGGAAGGAAAAATATTGCTTAACTGTTTATTGATGCCAGTTACAATGGTGGTGGTAGGGGCGGGCGGGATAGGGGCAACAGATGGAGAAGCTTTTGTCAATTTACAGACAGTCTTAACATTTTTAACAACAGGTGAAGGAAAACTGACTTCAAAATTGAATATGAATTTAAGTAATTTCCCAAACTCTGCAAAATCTTAAATATGAGACAATGGTCTTCGAAAAGTGAGACTATGAGAAACTGATCTTGGATTTGTTGCTGAAAATTCCTTTGCAAAAATCTTTACTTTTGCTATTATGCATTTTACTATTAACATATGCCACTGAACATTGAAGTACATTGAGAAAGACAATGTGATGACAATGTACGAAAATTGATGGCTAATAACGCCATCTTGCTATTACTGTATTCATTTTGCTGGCGCATGATCACAGCTGTAATCATGGTCACCGAATCATAGGATGTTACCTGTAAAATGGAATATAATAATAATAATCCTTGCATTTGATATAGCGCTTTTCACGTCTTCTAGACGTCTCAAAGCGCTTCACAGAATATATTGTAAAGTGAATTGACTCTATATTTGTGGGCGAAACGCAGCAGCCAATTGCGCACAGCAGTCTCCCACAAACAGTCGTGTATTGAGTGACCAAATTATTATTGTTGTTTTCTTGAGGAATTATTATGAGGCATGTGGAGTAAGGAAGCTTTCCCAAGGCTTTGCCCTGCTGGGAATTGAAGCCAGATCTCTCGCTTGCGAGGCGAGTGCTCCGACCACTGAACTACAGGACTCCACAAAATAAATCAATATGTGTGTGTGTATGGGGGGGGTGGGGAGGTGTTGGGAGGGGGCAATCATTGCTAATGTATCTTCCACTGCTCCTCATTTCTCAAGTAGTGGACCACAACGACCTCGTAGTACATAGATAATCGACCCCAAATCCCAGCTGGGTGTATTTGCCTGTTTAATTTCAGTTCAGTTTTGCAGTATAAAGTATTAATTGTGTGGACTGTCGCTATTGTATTATAGATCTGTTGTGTGACCCTCCACAGGATCCCAGGTTCAATGCAGAAATCGACCACATCACCGGGTACAAGACACAGAGTATTCTGTCCATGCCAATAAAGAACCACGAAGATGAGGTGATTGTCCTTTTCTGTAACTCACGGCTGAAGTGTGCTGCCAGGATTTTACAATGTGTTGAAAATCTGCTTTCAAACTGTCTATAAAGTTGTGCTTTGTGAGTATCTCAAATTAGACAGCTTTCAGAAGTAACAATTAACACTTCTTAATCCTATTATGAATACCTGCAAATTGGACCCAATTGCCTTTTGTTATGTGTTTCGCCAACCCTCTAATTTTTCTGGTGTTTTCCTGTCAGCCTTTTGCCTGTCTGTCAATGTCCACTGCATTTCTGCAAAGCTCAGTGCAGTCCAAGCCATTATTTTACAAATGTCAAAATAGTGGAGCGGAGAGAATTCAAACATAAAATGCTGCGAATGGGCAGCCCTAACTGAGGTAGAGGCGCATCTTACATTGAATAGAGTTGCACCTTAGAGACCTACAACTCACCGGGTCAAATGCTGTGCCGTGTTCTTTGGTCTTCAGCCTCTGGAACTCCATCCCACAGACCCTGCACCTCGCCCTCTCTCTTGCCTCCTTCAAGACCTGTCTCAAGACCTTCCTCTTCGTCCTTGTCTTCGGTCACCCTCCTACTCCTACCCTCCCCGTCCTTGACCCATCCTGATCCCAACCACCTAACCACCTAAAAATGTGTGCGGATCCCTGACTGTCCAGCGCCTTGAGACGTCCTCCTGGTGTGAAAGGCGCTGTACAAATGTAATTTGTTGTTGTTGTCTCAGCCAGGGCTGCTTGGGAAGGTTCAGTCAACCCTGATCTTCCCTCAAGGAGAGGTTAAAATCAGATGGATTTAACGGTCCTGTTCCCTCCTTAGCACCATCTATTGGTAGTGCCCATGTGTGGCGACTGGGTCGGGAGAGGAAAGGCACGGTTGTGATACCCTTTACAGTCAAGTGGCTGCCGACACCCACTGCCAAAGCTCAACACATTAACAACTGCTTCTTGGGCAAGGCACCCATAATCCGTGGAATCACAAGTGGGCATTAGTAGAGGCCTGTAGCTTAGTGGTTAGAGCACTCGCCTCACAAGCGAGAGGACCTGGGTTCGATTCCCAGCAGGGCAAAAGTTTGGGCAAGTTTCCTTACTCCACCTGCCACTGTTTACCTAGAAGTAAGTATGAACCCGGTTGTTAGTTGATTGGCGGATCACTTTTCCAGGGATAATAATTCCTCCAAAGAAAAAGGTGGTCATTCAATCCACGACTGTTTGTGGGACACTGCTGTGCGCAATTGGTTGCCGCATTTTGCCTACAAAATATGCAGTCAATTCACTTTACAGTATATTCTGTGAAGCACTTTGTGATGTCTCGAAGATGTAATAAGGTGCCATATCACTAGGATTATTATACAAGGATTATTATTATTAGTAGTAGTTAGTAGTAGGCTGGGGACAGGAGCAGAGTCATATACCAATGGTGAAATAACCACATTTCAAATCGATCACTAGGCTTCTGCCAACAGCGTATAGTTATAATAATTCATTAACATATTAACATTGAACCATATTTATAAATGCAAATTGTTGTTGTTAGGCGGAGTCCTGTAGCTCAGTGATTAGAGCGCTCCCCTTGCAAGCGAGAGAGCTGGGTTCGATTCCTGGTAGGGCAAAAGTCTCCTTACTCCACACGCCTGATAATAATCCCTCAAGAAAAAAAGGAATAATAATTTGGTCACTCAATCCATGACTGTTTGTGGGACACTGCTGTGCGCAATTGGCTGCCGCGTTTTGCCCACAAATATACTGTCAATTCACTTTACAGTATATTCCGTGAAGCGCTTTGAGATGTCTAGAAGACATGAAAAATGCTATATCAAATGCAACGATTATTATTATTTATTATATTCTGTCTGTCTATTTGCACAGAATACATATATTCAAGTAGAATTTTAAATTTGCTTTTGTAAGGCTTTGGATATTCGAGAGGTTTTAGATACATATCTCATATCTGATGAACGTCACGGCCAAAAATTTTAAAGTATCTTTCTCTTCTGCTATGCAGATAATGAGGAATTTCATCATTCCCTTTCCAAGAGATCCCAGAACTAAAACATTAGAAAAATAATTTAAAAATATAAATTGCAAATAAATAGTGGAGTATGGTTCAATTTTAGCAATAATAATCCTTTGATATAACATCTTTCACATTGGGAGGACATCAGTAAAGTGGCATAACTGTATATTTTGTGGGAGAACTGACAATACCTAGTGGACTTTATGGTCCCCAGTGACAAGGCTTTCTGCCAACCTGCACTTGTGTTCTACAGAAATTGGTGTATTTAACCTTTCCCCTCCTCTCCAGGAGATAGGGAGCACATTCCAGAGCAGCAAACAGAAGCTCTGATTTTGTGCGTTCTCAGCAACTAGACACAGCAAGACATTTCTGCACATGTCAATTTCTGATCGATCAAAAACAAATCTCTGAAGAGCCAGTCACTTCCTCAAAGCATTTATATATGAAACAATCAAGGAAATGTCTGTTCACCATTACAACCAGAAACTCACACTGCATGGTCAATGATAAATAAACTGCTAAGACGCATCTATTAAGCAGAGTTGAAGGTCATGTAGTGAGTCTGAAATAAAAGCAATAACAAATTGCACTTAGATAGTGCCTTTCACATAGGAAAATGTCTCAAAACTTTATATGAGGATGGAGTCGAGTTGGGTTTAAGGAACATGACCAAAAAGATCATGGTCAAAAAGATCTGTTAAATGGGTTTTGAAACCACAGAGGGATGAAATGGCACAGAGGGCTTTTGGAGAAGTTCCAGAGGAAACACTGCACAATTGAAGGGAAATCAAGTAAATAAGACACAGAACTGGTTTAATGTAATATTAAACTTATTATAATTAGAAGGGGATTGCAAAACCTCCATTCAGTACAATCAAAGGGCCTGAAGATTTTATTTTACAGGGTTTGGTAATAATTGATAACATATTAAAGGTAAACCTTATATATGCTTCTGTCTATTTGCACAGAATAAATCTATTCAGAAAATATAATTTTACATTTGTTTTCCTAAGGCATTGGATATTCAAGAAGCTTTATCTCATTTCTGATGAACTGATAGCTTAAAAGGTTAAAATATCTTCCTCTTTCAGATGTTCATTGACCTTCTATGCATTTCTGACATTTCTGCTGTTTTTAATAGATTTGGTTGAAGATTATAGTAAAGATGTGGCACAGAGGGAGAATTTAATGTACCGAACTGTATTTTCACAGAAGGGAAATAGATTTCGCTGAAGGCCTTTGTTTGCCTTGAATATCATAAGCAACTTTCTCCCAGACAGCGATCTCTTGCATTTCTTCAATCCAGATCAAGAACCATAGTTCCATGATTGCTTCCAATCTAATAATAAAAATAATCCTGCATCTTTCACATCAAGTGGGCATCTTAAAACCTTCATAGGACAGGATAGATTGCAAAGTGTATTTGTAGGCAAACATGGCAGCCCATATACACTCAACAATGTCCCACAAACAGCCATGAAGTGAATGACTTATTTTATTTGGGGCAGTTGTTAATCAGGACACCGGGAGAAACTCCCTTCTCTTTTTGAATAGTGCCATGGGATCGTTAATGTCCCCCTGAACAGACAGACGGGACATCAGTTTCATATCTGATTTGAAGGACGGCACCTCTTGACAATGCAGCCCATTCTCAGCACTGCAGTGAAGTGTCAACATAGACTTTGTGAGTTTCTAAATCCCAACTTAGGGCTTGAACACACAACTGTCTGAATCAGAGGTGAGAGGAAGTGCTACCAACTGTGCCAGGCTGACGTGCTTGGTGAATAAGCACACTGGTTAAAGCTAGCAAGATCATCAATGCTATATGACCTACCTAAGTTCAATATCCTCCTCAGAGTTGTCATTAACTCATTGTGATGTAGCCGCCAGTTTGTCACTCTTTGTCAGTTTGTGACTGGTCTGTGCTTCCAAGTGCTACTCATGAGCTTATCAGCTTTGCCCTTGTGTGGGGATGGGGTAAGGGGAACAGATGCTGCGTTCCATGTGAGAGATTAGGGAGGAGAGGGATGAGGGGGAGACCATGGGTTTTAGGTGGGGAAGGAAGGGTGAGTGCAGAGTGATGGGGTGGGAGAGACGGAGACAGCTGAATGACATAACTGATAGTTGAGATCATGGGGTGGTTATTCTGGAAGGATGAGATCAATTCGGCCGAAGGTTCTTCTGCATTTCAAGCCTATTTTGTGATCTTGTGAATTGAATTGAAATCTTATAAACCGTCATTTGAAACATTGTTTTTGCTTTGAAAATAGTGGCCCTGCTAAGCATAAATTACAAATGGCGCAGCCAAGCATTTTCAATTGGCTTTGAGTGCTATCACTGTTCAGAAGGTGGGAGCAGTATTTTCAAACACGTTTTGTTTGAAAAGGACAAAAGCACACCTCATTACAACTTAGTAATGTGGCATTTTTTTCTATTTGCTGCAGCAGTCTGTTTTGACGACCTTTTATCTATCTGTGTTGGTGCATCCGATTATTCTGCGAATTTGTATCCCTAGCATATGCCGCTCTGTTCTTGATCTGCATTCCTCTTGCTGGGGTGTGCTTTTATGGATGCTGGTTGCCCTTCTGTACCCTGCCCAAGTGACTATTGTTCATGTGTGAACCCTGCCAGTGAGTGTCAGAAGGCCACTTGACTGTGGAGGGCATGACAGCTGAGCGGACACTGACCTCTGCCCACCCAGCTGCTGTACACACACTTCCCAATGATTCTTAAGTGATGCAGGTCAATTCTTCATTCAATGTAACTTTTGTACTTTTACGTTAATCTGTGGAGTTTGTTTAGAATCTCTCAGATCTGACGTGGATAAACTTCTTTTACGCTACACCCATCCACAGTTCGATTTTTTTTTATTGATGCAGTTCTGTCCTATCAGGTTGTTGGTGTTGCCCAAGCGATCAACAAGAAGTGTGGGACAAGTGGAACATTCACTGAAAATGATGAAAAGGTGAAACGAGTGGAAGGTTTTAAAGATGATTATCATCCCTTTCTGTTCAGTGTGTTGTCAACTATGTTTATAATTAAAACAAAACTATGTTTGCGTGTTTCTACTTGTGAAGAAGTCATATATATCACCAAGGCCTCTTCAGTGTTCTCTGTGTAACTGAGACTAAAACGTGTAAAAAAAACATTGTGTGTTGTGTGTGTGTATGTGGTGGAAATGTTCTCCGGTAGCAGCTATTACTGGGACATCTCCAGGGATGGAATTTTCCCATGATATGATAATTACTACCGGTGGTCATAATGATTTCAGGAAGGCATATTTCACCCCATCATTTTAGACATGTAACTTCAGCCCTTTGAACTCAATGTGCTGTTGTTTTTATTTGCCAAAGTAGATTAATATTTAATTTGAATTAATTTTTTAAATACGTACTGTTCTTTGAGAAGCCCCCAGATAGCAGTCTAGTGTGCTGGTCTGATTTACCAGCTATCACATGTACTGCATGTACTATAATCAAGAGTTGATGTAAACCTGCTTCTAAAGGGATTATAAGCACGTACAGGACTGCAAAAAAAACTATTTTTGGGCTGGTCTCAAAGGAAAAAAAACAGGTCTGTAATCATCTGTTTTTTTTTCCAACACATAAGTAAAAGAGAACTACGCTGAACTTGCTGTTATAGCACCATTAGTTTTGATTTGGGTTCAGCAACAGGACTGATACCTGTGTTGGTTTCTGTAGGAAACAAAGGAGAGGCTAGTGTTGGGATCAGTACATTCCTTTGGTTTTCCCTCCCCAGTGTTCTTGTTTCCCTCCTGTCTTGACAGCATTACTTCATCCCGAGGTAAAGTTGCACAAGCAGCAATGAACCTGTCATTCATCCTTCATGTCTGAGCTTCGACATTGACTGCTGGGGACTGTTGATTTGAGGGTCATCACAGGCATTCAACAACTCAAGTAACTAAATAGTAGCCCAGGCCACTTTTTCCCTTCTGTAAATATAATAATAGTATTCTTTGAATGTTGCTCAATGTCACAGGATTTACTGTAAAGTGTAGTGTCTCAGTATTTGTAGGCAAATGCAGTAGACAATTTGTACATAGTAATATCCTACATTATTTGGGGAACTATTATCCAAGACACTGGGATACACTGTACTCCCTTCTCTATTCCAATAGTGGCACAGATAGATATTTATCACAAATGAAACCTATTGTGTGGATTCTTCTTTTGCTAAGAATATCGAATGTTGCAACATTGATCCCAATTCATTGAAGTTGCTACCAACTTCTTTGCAGATAACCTTTACACAGCAGAAAATAGATAATGCTATCATGGAGCTTCCGATCACTCAATATACCTATTTTAGTGCATATCCTTATTTATTTGGACTTCTCACTTTTCTGAACACATTTAGTGGTTCAAGGTTCATGTTGTACAATAGGAAAAATGAGAAATTGCATTGATTCAGAATTTCTGAGTTTTGTGTGAAGTTGAGCGATGTCATCTGATATTAATTATGTAACTTTTTTTTAGGATTTCGCAGCCTATTTAATGTTCTGTGGGATTGTCCTCCACAACGCTCAAGTGTACGAAACCTCACTACTTGAAAACAGGCGCAATCAGGTATTGCCAAAGATATGGGATCGCCGCCCCCCCCCCCCCCCCCCCGCTTTTTTGTGAAGCATTTGTTTTTTTCAGCTTTACAATACAATACAAAATTGGATTTGTATAGCGCCTTTCATATTGGAGCTTTTGCTTTTGAGTGTGAAAATCTTTGCTGCAAAGCATGATCTTGTGTCCTGTTCACTGAACAGTGATCTCCTCAACAAGGGACACAACGTTTAAGGTCCATAATAATGTCTCATCATTTGTAACAATAGTAATAATAATGCTTCCATTTGATGTAACAACTTACCATGTTATTGAAATATCTTAAAGGATTTATTGTGAAGTCCAATGACTGTAGGGGAACTCAGCAGCCAATGTGTGCACAGCAATTTCCCACAAACAGTCAAGAAATTAATGACCAATTTGAATTGGAAGATTTTTGGCCAGGACCTCATTATCTCTCTGATCCAGTCCTACCCCATTTGTTTGTTCGCCTTACTCAGACTTGCTGCATGTCCCTCTCCATGCCACTATCTGTGGCCGAGCCTTGAAATACTATGCTCTTAACCTCTGAAACTCCCTCCCTCTACCCTGCTGCCTCTCTCTCTCTCTCTCTCTCTGCCGTTAAATCATGCCTTTAAACCTACTCCTTTGAACATGGTGATGGCCACCAACCCGTCTTTTCTTTCCCTTACTTGGCATCTGACCCTTCTTTGTACAATGCTCCAAGGCATTACCCTACATCAAGCGTGCTGTATAACTGCAAGTTGCTATTGTTGAATGAATATCGCTGCTTTGCTTCAGAATGCTTTCTCTCCCGAAGGTTCTACTTGATCTTGCCACTGTAATATTTGATGAGCAGCGCTCACTGGATGTAATCGTGAAGAAGATTGCAGCTACCATCCTGTCCTTCATGCAGGCACAGAGCTGCACCATCTTCATTGTGGACGAAAATTCCTCTGTGGGTATTCGATGTGGTTTAATAAGGTGACTGTGTATTTAACTTGGCTTGTTAAAATCACAGGGCCCCACTGGAAAAATAAATTGATAGAATATTTCCTTACCAATTATGTAAATCGGAACAGTATGTATTCACAAAGAGATTAGAGCATATTGGGCACTTTGACACACACCTGACATTTACTATTTTTTTAAAAAAAGTGTACATCCTTAAACCTGACTCCTCAAAACATGCTTTTGAACAAACTGAACACAACATGAGACGAGAAGGCAGCAAAATCACATATGCTAGTGATGCCATGGCCATTGACCACAGTGGCACACAGTGGGCAATATAAAAATAGTTCATATTTAAGTTGGAAAATAAGGTTAATTCAAACATTTAAAAAAAACTGTCAGATTGTCAGGGAATACTGCAAGGCTCTAGTCAGTGAGGCACCCGATTCAAAAAAACTAACCCATGAGGGGAAGAGCTTGGATGAAGGGCATTGAAATCTAAACTCTAAAGCTTGAGGCCACGGCCCAAGCATCAATTAACTCCAGAACGATTGGTCTGCTCTAGCAGCAAATGGGAAAGAGCTGTGAGCTGTCAGTTTGCATCAGTTCTGCCTGTTATGTTCGTGGATGAATGAACTGAGCTAGTCCCATTTTAAAAGCAAATCTAATGTGGCTTCTGGGTATATTCTCACATCACTGTGTTCTACTGTTAATGTTACAAAAATAATATAATAGATAGGCCCAATGGATCAATCAACAGATCGATTCCCAGAAGGTCATCCTTTATACTTTAACCATCCATTCGGGAGAAGCTGAAAATATTTTATATGAAGGAGGCTATTCACCTACAAAATATGCAGTCACCACACTTCAGTAAATCTTGTGAAGCATTTTGAGAAGTCCTCCCAACGTGAAAGCGCTTTGAACCGTTATTCTACGTGAAGGGAGCTAAATATCAAGTGTAAGGCTGATTATTATTTATTCAGCAATGTAGCCTAAGCTTCTGGTCGTTCCCCAATTGGAGCTATCTACTCTTAACGTCCTGCTTGCATCCCATAGAAGAGTCTGAAAGTGAAACAGTTAATATTTCAGACATGACCTTCCATTACAATTGGCTTAAAATTGGCTATACCTAAAACATTAACTTTTACTTTCACATCCTGACTGGCCAGCTTTTTTTTATTTTTATTTCATATTTCCTGGATTTGGTCTACTATTGATTTGATAAGTAGCTCAAGTCATCTTTGTAATTGATCGAGTAAAATCTTTTCAGCTTCTCTCAGATGCCCGGTTACAGTATAAAACAGTAGTTCTAAACGTTCAGTAGCTTTTAGTTTATGGTTCATACAAGTGTTTTTACTGTCATGCATGACAGTAATAACTACTTCTGTACACATCACCTCAGGGCACTGAGGCCCCTCTGTCCCAAATGGCTTTCATTATTTAGATAGTTGCAGCTATATTTTTTGATCCTCTGAAATAAATTAATCAATTGGCAACTGAATACCCATCAGATTTGACAAAAGAAATATGAATAGTAACAGTTTCCCATTTTGGTAAATAGAAAGAACAATTAGTTCCTGTGTTATGAATCAGAGGAACATATCTGTTAAAAGTGTTCAGATAAATATTTTGTTCTTCCTTTTTTTGGAAATATTCCATCTCACACTGATTGATTTAAATAGGTCTAGAAAGACTAACATTCTCAGGATATATCACATCATGTAGGTTATCACTGATTAGATCTTTGAGATGCTCACTGTCACTGTAATTACTTGAATGTCTGTCTCCACATTATAAATAAATTATCTTCTTAAATTACTTTCCCAGGATTCGTTCTCCAGCGTCTTTCACATGAATTCTGCTGAGCTGGAGCAACCTGCAGTTTTCTCAAGGAGGTAAAACAATGTCTCATCAATCAGCCTTCAGAGAAACACAGTAACTGCATTAAAATGAATGAAATTCACTCCTGCAATGAATTTCAGATTACAACCAGCTTCAGGTCAAGCTTTGGGGTCATCTTGGCCCATTCTCGTTGGTAGCATTCCCACCACTGAGTCAGAAGGTTGTGGGTTCAAACCCAACATAAGGACTTTGAACTCATAATCTAAGTTGACATCCAATGCAGTGATCATAGAATTATACAGCACAGAAGGGGGCCATCGGTCCATCGTGCCTGTGCTGGCTCTTTTAAAAGAGCTATCCAAATCAATCCCACTCCCCCGCGCTCCCCTCATATTCATGCAAATTTGTCCTTCCCAATAGGAGAATATTGCATTGTTGGAAGTGCTGTACTTCAATGAGATGTGTTAGTTTTTCCCCATGTCCTGGCCAGCAACCCCCCCTCCCCACCCCCAAGAAAATTTATGTTTATTTTGTAGCTGTTTGTGGGATATTGCTATGCGCAAATTGGCTGCTGTGTTCTCCAACACAATTCACAGTCACAACACTTTACCATAAATCTTGTGAAGCTCTTTGAGCTTCTCTCCTGACATGAAAGATTCTGATTTGGAATTCATAAAAGGGAAAATAAAAACATGTTGTTACTTTGCTGGAGAGCTGCAAGCTTCCGGGGCAGGTAACATGAGAGAGATTTTCAAACAGACAAAAACATCCAGTAATTACTAAATGATTCCTTTTGTTGATATTTTCAAAGTAAAATCCAACCTCGTCCAGGTGTTTGCTTCTATCTATCCTATTTATAATAATAATAATAATCCTTGCATTTGATATAGCGCTTTTCACGTCGGGAGGACGTCCCAAAGCACTTCACAGAACACACTGTAAAGTGAATTGACTGTATATTTGTGGGCGAACGCGGCAGCCAATTGCGCACAGCAATGTCCCACAAACAGTCGTAGATTGAAAATGACCAATTTAATTATTGTTTTTGGTTTTTGGAGGGATTATCATTATTTCCTGGGAGATCAAGTGAGTGGGACATGGATTTGGGCCAACACAGTCCCAGTTAGTGCAAACTATATTTTTTGCCACTACCTGGTGTGAAAGTAAGGTTTGCAGATCTGAGAGGTGACAGGTTTGATTCCAATCTTTGATGTGTTGATTCGTCAGCTCAACGTGCGCAAAACTGAGGCCCTGCGGATTGGCTCGCGTCAGGCGCTGACAGCATCAGCATCCAAGGCTGCACTCTCCACCTCTCAAAGCCAATCAGGAACCTCGGTGTTCTGTTCGACCCTGAGCTGTCCTTTCTTCCCCACATCTGCGCCACAACTGGCACCGCCTTCCACCACCTCCGGAACATTGCCAGACTACGGCACTACCTCACCCCTCACGCTGCTGAAACTCTGGTCCACGCCTTTATCACCTCAAGGCTGGACTATGGGAACTCTCTCCTCGCCGGCCTTCACGGCACCTCCCTCCACAAGCTGCAGGTCATTCAGAACTCTACAGCTCGTGTACTGTCCCGCACCAGGCTTCGGGACCACATCACTCCCACCCTCGCTCGCCTCCACTGGCTCCCCATCCCCAGAGGATCGAATTCAAGATCCTCATCCTCACCTACAAGGCCATTCACGGCCTCGCTCCCTCCTACCTCTCCGACCTACTATCCCCCTACTTACCTGCCCATACCCTCTGTTGCTTTGGCTCCGGTCTGCTCCACATCCCCCGCCCCAACCGCCCTACCATCGGTGGCCGGGCCTTCAGCCTCTCAGCCCCTAGGCTCTGGAACTCTATCCCCCAGTGCCTTTGCCTTGCCTCCTCCCTTTCCTCCTTCAGGGCCGGTCTCAAGACCTTTCTCTTCGACCACACCTTCACCTCCCCTCTCGACTCTCTACCCCCTCCTCACTCCCTCCCTTCCCTCCCCTCACCCTGACCATTTCTCTCCCGCTCGAGTCCCGACCCAACTGTCCAGTTGATATTTTAATTTCTTCTTTGCAAATTGTTGGCTCCTGGAGAAGTTTTATATCATCTTCATCACTGTAACCCCCCCACCATGGAGATTGTGTTGCAAATCTCTTTGAACTATGCTGCTTTCTCTCTCTGAACATACCATCATTGAGTTGACCAGGCCATTTATAACGTGCAACTTTTCCTTTAATCGATTTATTGATGGGCCAATGTCAAAGTGAATCGGACAGTTGGATGATTTTGGATTCATGAGCTCATAATGGAGTTTAACAACAGTTTAGTTTAACTTGACTGACAGATATTTTTAAAAGATGGACTAGGCACAGTTTGGGAGAAAAGATGTGCTTTTATACACCCATTCAAAAACAGCTGGTCCAGGTTTTTTTTTGATGGGTGTAACAGTTACCTCACAGAAGCACAGAACCTGTTGACACAGCATTTGTTGTTTTCCAACAGGGGCTGTGATGTAAATAAAATGAACTACATGTATGGAAAGTATGCGAAAAATACCATGGAAACACTGAACATAACAGATGTCTGCAAGGACACACGCTTCATGTGGACAGTAAGTGTGCATAACTCATTGGAACCTCAAACTCATTTGCATAGATTTAGTCCAAGGATGTTGATTTTATTTTCTTACTTAGTGCTGTTTGGAAATTCCTGACAGTATTTAACCTTATTTTTATTTGCTTGATAGAATGAAAATGCAGAAAATACAAACAAGCAAATAAAAAGTTTGCTCTGCACCCCAATTAAAAATGGAAAGAAGAATAAAGTTATAGGTATTGGAGTTTCTCTGAATATTTTAATGTGTGTTTCTGTTGGTTGTATGTGTGAGGGTTGTGTGTATGTCCGCACTTCTGGTTCCTTCAATCAACGCTCATTCCAAGTGATCCAACAAGATCTAAAAATTGTAATGTGAAAATGTATAAGATTCCTCTGCTGCACCAGATATAATTGTTGATATAACTTCATTGCAATGCAATAATTAATATATGATTTTCATAATTCTTGCAAGCAACATGTATAACACGTTTGCCATATTTTGACAGATGTGTGCCTCGCTGAACCTTTTTTTAGTGCATGTTACAAAATGTACTCAGTGAATCAGCAGCGTCCCTGCCACTGACTGTCTGTGTGGCTCTGAGAGTTTGTTTTACGTCTGTCTTAGCAAATAGGCTCTATATAAATGTAAATTGTTGTTGTTGTCTTTGTCTGCCTGCAACCTGCTGAATCTAATCTGAGTGATGACATTGACATTGCTGGTTTGATCACGATTACTTGGAATAATTTTATCTTAAATTTTATAATAATGTAGCCATGCTCAAGAAACTGAATGGAGCTCACTGAGCAAAATAGCTTCCTTCCCCCTTGTATCCCCGCCCAATTGAAGAAGAGAACACTTGTAAGGATGCTTTTAGTAAACAGAGTATATGTTATTGGTTCAGCACCCAGAGCTGTGCAGTTAGCATGATATCATCTTACAATAAACATATTAATAAGCAACTGTTCAAATCTAGGTCATCTTGGCTCAGTTTGATAGCACTCCTACCTCTCAGTCAAAAGGATTCAAGCCCCGCGTCAGGATTTTGAACTGGGGGAACTGCATTGTTGGGTCTCACGTCCTTTGGATGAGACATTAAACCAAGGCCTGTTCAGATGAAGTAAAGATTCTATGGCACTATTGGAAAAGAGAAAGGCATTTCCTCCAGTGTCCTGGCCAACAATCCCCCAATAAAAAATGTCAATTGCTTCATAGCTGTTTGTGAGACATTGCTGTGTGCAAATTGCCTGCTAATCAGCTCCTTGGGACGTCCTCCCGATATGAAAGGCACAATACAAATTTAATTTTGTATTGTATTGTACCTTCACCTACAAAATACAGTCACTACCCTTTACATTAAATCCTATTAACTGCTTTGAGATGCTATAAATAATGAAAGGATTATTATTACTGTTATTACCAGTCTATTACAGAATGGCAAGCGTTAGTCAAAGCAAACCATTATCTTGTGTTAAGATGTGCCATTTAATCAGTGAACAACTCTCTAGCTGGTATCACAGGAAATCTAGTACGTTTGATAGTAGTGAGTCTTTGGCAGAATGACATTTATGTTCGAGCTCATCTTACTTCCAGTATCCAGTGATACTTTAAGCTCATTGGTAAAACCTAAGCTGATCATATTTTTGGTGTGTCATCCGAATAAATATGACGTAGTAATTACAGCTATCTTATTAACAGTTTCTATTTGAGTGAGAATTATAAATTGTGTTCATTTGGATACATCAAGACAAAAGGTATCATCCTGAAACGTTTTCACACTGAAATGTGAGCATCAGGCGAAGGCAGCGCTGGAAATGCACCAGGATACTTATAGATAAAGACAATTAAAGTCATTTTTTCAGGATCTATTTTTTCTGTGAAAAATGGGGAAAGGATAAACAACAAAAAACTAAATTGTGGTGAAAATTGCTCCGATTCCATGAATACACTCCAAAAACGTTTCCAGTATTGAGGAACTGGCTTTTGAGCATATTCCCAGGACCATCATTGCAGCAAGGCGGGTTTCGATGTGACATGTGCAATAACGGATTCCGGGAAGAATAGTCAAATTCAGATTTTAACTTAACTTGGGGTAAAAATCCATTCTTACTGATAAACGTTCACCGAATAAAACATATTTACATTGGTGAAAATTAATTAAAAGAAAACGACTTCAGTAGTTCTTACTGATTGTTCAGTAATTTTCTGTTGATACTTTGTTAATTGAACAAAGCTATAAGAATGGTGTCACATGAATGTACTACATTGATATACGATAGCACAATCTGATCAGGAAAGAAGGATACAGGATGACCTTATGCATGAGCCTATTTCCTGGACAAACCTGCTGATACTTATTATAATTGAGGTTTAATATATAACAGTTTCTAATGGATGTCTTTCAAAGGATTCGAGTGCAAACTCTTTCAGGTTACCAATAGTAGATCACATTGGAGTCCTGAGGCTCAGTGGTTAGAGCACTCGCTTTGCAAGCGAGAGACCTGAGTTCAATTCCAGGCAGGGCGAAACCTTGGGCAAGTTTCCTTACTCCACACAGAGCCTAATAATAATCCCTCCAAAACCAAAAACAATAATAAATTGGTCATTTTCAATCTACGACTGTTTGTGGGACATTGCTGTGCGCAATTGGCTGCCGCGTTTGCCCACAAATATACAGTAAGTTCACTTTACAGTATATTCTGTAAAGCGCTTTGGGACGTCTCGAAGACGTGAAAAGTGCTATATCAAATGCAAGGATTATTATTATTATTGGAGCTACATTTTCACGGGTTGGCATTTCTAATTAAGGAAGCTCATTAGCAAATTAGAAATATTTATTGTGTGCAGGACCAAATGGATTTTAAGGATTCCATGACACTATTTCAAAAGAGAAGGAAGTTTCTCCTGGTGTCCTGGCCAATATATGAGGTAAATTTGGTCATGGAAATTTGTGGAACATTGCTGGTGGAAATTGGTTGCCAAGTTCCCTGCCAAATTACTAAGTTCCCTTATAAATACTTTAAAATTATATCAATGCAGCTCACAATACAGACGTCTATCTATGACTGTTTATAAGACAGCTGCCAAACTAAAATTGCCAAAATAGGATAAAATTCTTCCCACATACAAATCTCACTTGCACATATTATCAAAAGAATAACAGAGGTTGGAGCACATTTCAAGATGGTAATACATAACATAAGGTAAGTAGCATAAACTACACACACATGGTTTATTTAGCCATGCTATCCCTTCGAATACTGGTCACGATCTATGATCCTAAATTAGTCTAGTGAGCACAAAGCGGAAGAGAGATTTGGGAGTATTGGTGCATAGATTGTTAAGACCTTTATAAATTTACAAGACAGTTTAAAGAGAACAAGCTTAGGCTGCATAGTAAAAAGGGATTATTTCGGCTATATAATTATTTTCCAATGATATAAGCCTCTGCTCCTAGTCCCAGTCTTATCATGCTGGGATGCAGCTCAACAGATCCCATTTTCCCTCCAATACCCCAACATGTGAGCCTTGGAAGTGAGTGTCGGCAGGCCACTCGGCTTTAGAGGGCATCACAGCCTCATCTCTCCTCATCCAGCTGCCACACATAGACATGCACACACACACACACATACACACACAACCAGCAGAGCACACTATGAATGTTCACACTAGAGAAGAGAAGCTTCAGTGAGACCTTGTTGAAGTATTTCAAATTTTAAACGAAACTCAGATGAAGTGATCCCTAATAAGAGGTCAGTATAGTCACAGGCCCTATAACACATGGGTACAGACTCAAGAGAAGGTGAAAGGAGGTGGTTATGTTGAGTAAATTACCCAGGGAGACATATAGTGGATACTCATTGTGTCAGCAAATTCAACCAGAATTAGACAATCATTTGGCAAATAAATTAATTTCAGGGGTATGAAAGATAGAAGAGGGTCCCAATTGATTTTCAATTTGAGACTGACCAGAGGGACTGCATTTTATTTTACCAGTCTATACATTCGTGTGTTCGTATCTTATGCAGAACATGCACCATAGTTGTCCCATTGGCCATCTAGCCAAGGATGAAAACATTTAAACTGCAAGCAGCTGGACTTTAACTTTTTTTTTATTGGCCACAAGTTATGTTCTTTGTATACAACAGGTGTCTGTCAGCTCGTGAACAAAATGGATGAACGGTCTGGTGTGATCAAGGCCTTCAATAACAATGATGAGCAGTTCCTGGAGGCCTTTGCTATTTTTTGTGGGCTGGGAATCCAGAACACTCAGATGTATGAAACAGTTGAAAGGGCCATGGCAAAGCAGGTTGTGACTCTTGAGGTAAGTGGCAAATTGTCTCGTACTTTGTATTGGAAACAACTCTAACCCTCTCATCGGTTGTTAATTACAAAGGTACTTCCCTTCATATGTACATATGTGTTGCAAATGATTTACATAGCTCACATGATATTATCAAACGAACAGCAACAACTTGTATTTATATAGCGCCCCTCAAGGGGGTAGCCTCCCAGAGAGCGAAAACATAGGTTTCAGCCCAGCTACGTTGGTTGCGCTCTTGCCTCTGAGTCAGAAGATTGTTGATTTAAGCCCCACATCAGGACTTTGAGCTCATGGTCTAGACTGACATTCCAATGTAGTAGTTGAGGAGCCCAGCATTGTTGGAAGTGCTACTCTTCATGTCAGACATTAAACTGAGATCCCATCTGACTGTTTAGGTTGACGTTAAAATTCATGTGATAGCGAAGGGTGTTTCTCCCAATGTCCTGTCTAACAATCCCACAGATAAAAAAGAATGGTAATATCACTTCATGAACTGTTTGTGGGACATTGCTGTGTGCAAATTGAGCTGCCACTTTGTCCTACAGATACACACACTATATTTTGCAGAAAAAGCTCTGAGAAGTGTTTTGAGACACTTTGAAGCGAGAAGGGGCTATATCAAATGCAAGAATTATAAAAATAAAGGGAGCGACATTCTGATTGCAGGTCTATTTTAAGAATCAAGTATATCTGATTCTGTGCTGGTCTGTAAATTTATCAGCCTGGTAGAGTGAAGTTGTATAGGGATGTTCCCATATACAACTTGTTTAGGAGTGCAGTGATTTGCTAATTGTTTCTGGCTCCCTATTCATGAAGATATGAAGGAGAGCACTCATGCAAAATTTGCCATTGACACTAAGCTATGTGGGCAGCTGGTTAGTTTAAAGGGGAATGATAACATTAAGAGAGATTTCAAACAATTTAGAAAATGGTATAAGGAGTGATAGATATATATGAATAATGATATTGTACTCTGAGACACTGCCTCGTATCGCGTGAAGGGTGCTATATAAATGCAAGTTGTTGTTGTAATACCCAGTCAGCTCTGTGAAGCATTTTGAAACATCCTCCTGACATGAAAGGGAGTCATATAAATGTGAATTGTAGTTGTAATGAATATTGGAACTATAACATTATTATTGTTATATATTGCATAAACACTGTGAAGGACTTCCTTTCGCAAAGGAGGAAATGGAAAAGGATGAAAGAACGGAAAGTCACTGATCATTCTGTGAAAGTATCCAGTCTCTGTGAGGCAGCCAGCAGCCAAACAAAATAATGACAGCCATGCACTGGAGAGCTTCTGACTGTCCGTCAATTCAATGCTACCATTATGCTGCACGTTTGGAGCCAATTTGCTGCAGACTGGCAATAATTAATTGTGAAAAGTGCAGTATGACAGGTGGTGGAGTTTGTGCCAAATCCAATTGGACCCCTACTTCTATCATTACTTGGAAGAGGTACAAATGGGTATAAACGGGAATCATCATGTGGCTCATCTCTGTTCCCCCACCCACAATTAACCGCCCAGGAACGTTCAAATGAATCATTTAATGCAACCTGTTGGTGTTCATCAGAGCCTTTTTGCAGTAAAGTACAGGGATAATAATAAAAATAATCCTTGCATTTGATATAGCGCTTTTCATGTCTACTAGACATCCCAAAGTGCTTCACAGAATATACTGTAAAGTGAATTAACTGTATATTTGTGGGTGAACGCGGCAGCCAATTGCGCACAGCAGTGTCCCACAAACAGTCGTAGATTGAAAATGACCAATTTATTATTGTTTTTGGTTTTGGAGGGATTATTATTAGGCTCTGTGTGGAGTAAGGAAACTTGCCCAAGGTTTCGCCCTCTGCCTGGAATTGAACTCAGGTCCCTCACTTACAAAACGAGTGCTCTAACCACTGAGCTACAGGACTCCACTGGGATCTGTCACCCAGTGTCATAAGGAGTGTTCTCTGCTTATGCAAAGCTACACATGTGCATTACTCAGAAAAAGGATGGCCTCTTTCAATGAAATGTGGATCAGGATATATTTCTCAGGCTTCTTGCTTTACTGCTGGCATCTTCTTCCCAGTTACATTAAAAAAAATTAACCTTTTGGTGCAACATTTTAGTTTTGCATTCTATTTTCAGTATTAACAAGATTCTTGACATATTTCTGATTGCTCTTGGTACTTGAAGATTATATATGCAGTTAGTAAGAAAATAAGAGCTCCCGTATCACTTGCCTTTAATACTTTTCAGAGAAAACCGTGGACCAATTGAATATAAAACTAGTAATAATAATATTAATCCTTCCATTTGATGTAGCGCCTTATCACGTCTTCGAGACGTCTCAAAGCTCTTCACAGAATATATTGTAAAGTGAATTGACTGTATATTTTGTGGGCGAAATGATACTGAAGCTTCATTGGACCAACAAATACACAGGAAACTGTGAAGCACTTTGCGATGTTTCAATATGATAAAGTGGTACATCAAACATAAACAGGAACTAATCATTCAAATGCACCCAAGTCATTGTAAATTGTCACAAATGGGTCTTTATGTTGTTGCAGGTCCTTTCATACCATGCATCTGCTGGTGAAGAGGAGACTAGGGAGCTGCAGGTAACAGTGGTAAAATCACTTTTCTTTCTTCATTCTTTAGTTCAATCACATTTATTTTGTTACCCCCATTTAACTGTGAATATACATAGGTGAAAATTGCAAAGTTAGCAGAAATTATGTGAATTTTCACATCGGAAGAAATTTCGCCGGAGTCTAGGTTTATTCTATTTATGTAACATTGTAGAGCTTCCAGAATTTGATAAATTTCTGAATTTACTCTTAACTTTTAACCCGTTTTTTAATATAGTACTTAAAAAAAATTACGGAAGGTGGCTTCAACAATGAGGCTCAGAAACATAGAATATACAGCACAGAAGGAAGCCATTCAGCCCATCATCCCTGTGCCAGCTCTTTGGAAGAGCTACCCAGTGAGTCCCACTCCCCTGCTCGTTCCCCATACACCTGCAATTTTTTCCTTTTCAAGTACCTTTTGAAAGTTGTTATTTAATCTGTTTCCATTACCCTTTCAGGCAGTGCATTCCAGACCGTAACAACTCTCTGTGTAAAAAAAAAAGTCTGCTTATCTCCCCTCTGGTTCTTTTACCAATTATCTTAAATATATGACCTGGTTACTCACCTATCTGCCAGTAGAAACAGTTTCTCCCTATCTACTCTATCAAAACCTCTCATAATTTTGAACACCTCTATTAAATCTCCCCTTAACCTTCTCTGCTCTAACGAGAACATTCCCAGCTTCTCTAGTCTCTCCACATAACTAAAGTCCCTCATCCCTGGTACCATTCTAGTAAATCTCCTCTGCACCTGCTCTAAAGCCTTGATATCCTGAAGCTTCACTTACAAATTTGCCATATTCTGGATGGTGTTAACAGAAAAAATCTAGAACCAAATTAAATTTCTACCGCTGAATCTGTTAAGAAGCAGCACAATTTACATCTTTTTATTTTTGCCACATCACTAGTAGTTCCTCAACCTAAATGTTTAATTATAAGCTTTTGAAATTTTGACACATTATGAATCTATTTTTAAAATGAGGGAGTTTAAATAATTGACATTCCAAATCATGATTTGAATGTGGGCAACGTATTTTAAGATATATAGGAGAGCCAAAATAATATTGCTTTCTCTGGTCAATTACAGCAAATAGTTCCACTGATAATGTTATGGATTGAACCTCAACCATGCCCTTCACTTTATCTGCTCAACTCACAATATAAACTGAGTGGATAAGTTCCTCTGAAATGAAGGATGTTTTTATTGGCAAGCCAACTCAATGTTCAGATAAAGATTTTTGAACCTTTCAATGCTGGATATTAATAGGGATATTAATAGATGTATTAGCTGTCGGAATTCAAATATATAATAATTCAAAGAGTAAGCATTTTGGAAGCGGATTTCCTTGAACGTTATTTTCCATGTTAAATGTCAAGTACATCTCTTTTGGGGAATTTAATAACAAAATGAATGTTAAATAGATATACTGTATCTGAATTGCAATTTTAAGTTGTGGGTGAATTGTTTCTGAGCATTAAATGTCCGAGGACCTTATATCTTTATGCATGAGATCATTCCCATTGAAGTGTCAAACACTATAACCGCCTACCTTCAAATGAATTGAGAATAGAATCATTTTAATATGATGTAAATAATCCTACAAAATAACATAATTTGGTGCAAGTTTATATTTTGGAGAGTCTGATACTGCAGTCCTTCAAATCCAGGTATAAAATACAAAATACAAATTCAGATTATAAGGGGGGTAATTTTGCAAATTGATTCATGGTTGTCTGCAATTACCAGACCAGTGACGTAACTAGGAATAGAAATTTGGGTGGGCACCAACTTATGGTGGATGGGCAATAACCATACCTTCTGCTATAGTTCTCTTCCCATCCCTCTCTGCAGCATAGAGTGACAGAGAGACAGGCAGAGTGAGAGGTATGAGGCAGCACAGAGAGTGACAAGTGGACCAGGGTGCTAATTGGATGGGCCACGGTTATCCATGCCCACCAGTGGCTACACCCCTGTACCAAACACTTGGCTTACTGAACAAAAAGTACCATTTGCCTATGTTGCTAATAGCACTTGCTATTCACACTGTATTGAGAAATTTGGGTAGAAATCAAGGAGCATATTTAACTTCTACTCTGTATAACATTCTAGCCACAACATGAGTTGAGAAAAGACTTAAAATTAATTGAGGAACCACTTATCCATTTAACTTTTGTGATATTTGTTTACCTCACCTTCACCTATGATGGTTGGTCAGATAACCACATTAGCACCAGAGAAATCTTACAGGCTATTACTGGCTATTACTGCAAATACATCAAAACAAGGTTTATAAATAATAGGCAGATCTTAGGCAGGACTAAAGAGTCATACTTTCAACATAAGGGCTGTAGTAGAAATCAGGATAGAAGATTAACGGTGTGATGTGTTAAATGTCACAGGTGATAATTGTCACATTACCAAGCATTTCCAACTTTGGTTTACCTGAAGCCTGAAGCTGCAACCATCATTGCAGTTGTCAATTCACAGCATACAACGTTACTAGACTGTATTTTGTTGAGGACTACGTATCAATATAATAAGATGTTACATTATTTATTTTTATTCATTTGGCTAACTGAAGTAAAGAGTGGAAAAATAAATGCTTACCAGATAGTCCATGCCATTCAGTAGACCAAGGGGGCTAAGGGACAGTGAGTTTATACTGGAAGTTTTCGTTATGAAAGCAACCAAAAAGGGAATTCTCGCCAGTAACCACAGACAGTAAATCTCACAAGTCATACTGATTCATGGGACCTCTGCTCTCGAGGTAGATCAAATTGTAAGGACTTCTTACAAGTCAGTGTGACGTATTACCTTAATTAAGGTTTCCGTTTGAAATTGCTATACTTTTATCCCAACTTAAGCTTTCACAGCTTTTAACCTTTATTTCTGTTCACAGGCCATGACAATCCCTTCTGCACAGTCACTCAAGCTGTTAGATTTCAGCTTCAGTGATTTTGACCTGTCGGACATGGAAACAACGTTGGCTACTATCCGAATGTTCACTGACCTCAATCTGTTACAGAATTTTCAAATGAAATACGAGGTATTGTGCAATAGGCTTCAGAACCTAGCAGCTGATCAATTCTGTAATTTTTATCACCGTAATATTTATCATTACATAATTTTTTTTTGATTTGATAAGGTGGGTAAAGAATGTGAGCTTCTCTATGACTGAAACAAGCTGATGTTATTAGTGTTTGACATTTGATAACAAACTTTTAAGCTGTTGAGGGTACTCAAATATAGCTTCCATTGTGCCTCATTTTGCTAAAATGATCACCTGAAACTAATCCAGTTGTTTTGAGCCCTACTTAACATCCACAGATGTTTACTGGTTGGTGTGCCATCTCTTCTATAATAATAATCCTTGCATTTGATATAGCGCCTTAAATGACTCTTCAAGTCATTTCAAAGCACTTCACAGAATATACTGTAAAGTTAATTGTATATTTTGTGGGCGAAACTGTTGGGGGGTAAGCGACACAGATGCATAAAGAGGAAGGAGCAAAAAGAAAAAAACCTGAAATCCCATCCAGGAATTTGAGCTCACAGTCTAGTCTGACACTTGGAGGTGTTGTTCTTTTGATGAAACATTAAATCGAGGTCCTGCTTGTCTGTTTAGGTGGAGATTAAAGATCCCATGGCATTATTCAGAAAAAGAAGGGAGTTTATCCAGCCTCCTGGCCAACAATCTCCCAGTTACAATTGATCAAACACTTCATAGCTATTTTGGGGGACATTTCTGTGCACACATTGGCTGCTGTGTTTGCATATAAATGCAATCATTACACTTTACACAAAATCTCCTTTAAATTTTTTTTATGAGAGATAAGGCATAATACAAAATTGAAAGATTTTAACCCTTCCTGCACTTTTACCCCTTCCTGCACTATTGATTGTTACAGTACACCTGCACATCTCATCAGACAGTCATGATAGTTGATCATGTGAAAATAAGTTAAAACTGGACCTTTATAACAGCTCTCACTGTCAACATGAAACAGCCCTTGTATAAACACTTTGTTGTTTTTTACCCGTAGGTTCTTTGCCGTTGGATTTTAAGTGTAAAGAAGAATTATCGAAAACACGTTGTCTATCACAATTGGAGGCATGCCTTTAACACAGCACAGTGCATGTTTGCTTTGCTGAAGTCTGGCAGGATTCAGGTTTGTCAGTGTTATTTGCAGTTTCACTTATTTGGGTAAAGGAGACGACACTATGACAAAAGTCTGCCAGTAGGTGTGATCTTCCCATTGAATCCACTGCAACGGTTGGGTTTGCAGCCAGGCCACCCTGGACATCTGGCCCATATAGGACTACGGATTAGCAGGATACTGACTTAACTAACTGAAGGCAATATCCTACTAACCAACACTGCAATGGTGCAATCCACAGGCCAGAAGTACAATACCATGGAGCATTCTGGCATTGTGACAGCACCCTGGCAGATCTGAATTTCAGGCTCTTAGGTGTCTCAAAATTGGGATTAGGAAGGACTATTGCCACTTTTCTTCATTGACATTGTATTCTAAAAGTCAAGCAAAAAGGCGTCTGGATTTTACCTCTCCACCTCTTGGATTCTGTGTACACACAACGGTATTGAGTAATGCCAGTGTTTGGTTTGTTGACAATTACATTGTTTCCATTTGTTCTGTTCTGTGGTTATAGAACAAGCTGACTGACATGGAGGTTTTAGCTCTGATCATAGCAACACTCTGCCACGACCTGGATCACAGAGGGGTGAACAATTCCTTCATAAAGAGGTAGGCTGTGTTTTAACTACTGTAACCATGGCATTAAAAAAGTCAAACACTCTATAACAATGACAGTCCAGGAAATGTTTAATACATAGGAATCCTTTCAAGGGCATCAGATAACCAAATGAAATTAAGGCTATTTCAAGCCAACCTGAGATGAGATTGCTGCCTTGAACTCATTCAATGTACCTTTTAAAAAATGAACTTGTTCTGTGTACAGCTCATTGGTATTTTTGTCTGGTTTGGGGTCCATTTGCTTTGCAATAATGAATAATAATAATAATCATTGTATTTGGCATAACACCTTTCATGTCAGGAGGATCCAAAATGCTTCACAGGATTTACTGTGAAATGGAGTGGCTGTGTGTTTATAGGTGAATACAGCAGCTCAATTGCTCGCAGCAAAGTCTCACAAACAGCCATAGAGTGAACATTATTTGGGAGGATTGTTGGCCAGGACACCGGTAGAATCTTCTTTCAGTTTTTGAAAAGTACTATGGGCAGACAGGACCTCAGTTTAACATTGGAGTGTCAGTTTAGACTATGTGATTCCAAGTCCTGACATGGGGCTTGAACCCACAACCTTCTGCTTCAGAGGCGAGAGTGCTACCACTGAGTCAGACTGACACACATGGTCATAATGATCATTAGTACACTGTATATTGCTGACAATCCTACCCAGCAATCCATGCCATTAAATGTTACTGAACCATGTAAGAAAGACCCTCATGGAATGTATCTGAAAGCAGCTTGTGGCTTGAATGCTATCATGTAAGCCATAATGAACCTCAACTCCAAAGACTGTAAATCCTGCACAAGTTTTGAAAGTATAACATTCGTCATTTCTGGTGATCATATTTTCCATTTGTGAAAACATAAGGATGCAGTGAAGCTATTAACATTGAACTCTCCTGTGTGATTGATTTTGTGCAGGACTGAGCACCCTCTCGCTCAGCTCTACTGTCACTCTATGATGGAGCATCATCACTTCAACCAGTGCCTGATGATACTCAATAGCCCTGTAAGTGCCAGCTTCTGCCTTTCCTATCTTGATGATATTTCAAATGGTGTGAGGGCCAGAGCTCTCTTTCTGAATGTTCACCTTTTCCCTTTAATTGTAATTTACAGATGTGAGTTCTGTGAGGTGTCTCCTCACACTTGAGGTGCTCTGAGTAACTTGCATCCGAGGCACCTCTAAGCCACGGAATGTTTCATTTCGCAATCGCTTGCTGCAGAAACATGCCATAAAAAATGGAATACATGTTTCATTCCACCCAATCAATGCTAATACTTATCACCTTACTAAGTACAACGGTTTATCAAAACACATTTACCTTTCTTATTCAATTTTGCCAGATAACAATCTTTACTGCCTGTAGATCCTATTGAAGTGCATGTCTCGTCATTTGGTGTGACTTACATCTAGTTACCAGAAGGAATCCCCATTTCAAAATCATAGTCTTTATTCAGGAATCCTTTTGCTAATTTCTGCTTAGTCCTCAGTGTTTTAGGATAAAGGTGAGGTGAATGTAAATTAAGATTTCTGTGATGTCATTTCACATTCAGCAGTTTAAACTGGACACTTGGAGACTAAATCTAGCTGCCAGAAGAAAAGTACTAGAAGCAAATGTGATTAAAAGGGTTATCATGTGTGACTGGGAGGAAATTACAGAAGTTCTTTAATTAGGAAGTTGAATTTCTGCTTCCACAGCTGACTACAATGGTGGGCCTGATATGATCCCTCAGCAAAACAATCACATGTTCTGCCTTGCGATAATTATCACCGCTGATAACTAGCACATCACACATTGCATAACCCCCCATAGCCCACAACAACCTGTGGAGAGTTCACCTATAGAATCATAGAATATTATAGCACAGAAGGAGGCATTTGGCCCATCGTGCCTGGGATGGCTCTTTGGAGGAGCTACCCAATCAGTCCCACTCTCCCATTCTTTCCCCATATCTTTGCAAATGTTTCCTTTTCAAGTAGCTTTTGAAAGTTGTTATTTAATCTGTTTCCATCACCCTTTCAGGCAGTGCATTCCAGACCATAACAGTTCTCTGTGTACAAAAAAAAGTCTCCTTATCTTCCTTCTGGTTCTTTTGCCAATTATCTTGAATCTATGTACTCTGGTTACTGACCCACCTGCCAGTGGAAAAAGCTTCTCCCTATCTGCTCTAACAAAACCTCTCATAATTTTGAACACCTCTATTAAATGTCGCCTTAACTTTTTATGCTCTAAGGAGAACAATCCCAGCTTCTCTTGTGTCTCCACCTAACTAAAGTCTCTCATCCCTGGTACCCTTCTGGTAAATCTCCTCTGCACCCTCTTTGATTTCCTTATATAATTAGACCCAATATTCCAGCTGAGGGATTATACAATGAATATTTCCTCCAAACAACATTTGACATGGTTTATTGATTACTTTCATGTATAATTTGGGACATGACATGTCATGCGACTGCCAGGGTGGAGGGAGGTGAACTGGATTGACCTTGGTCTTCTTTTGCCTAGCAAATTCTTATATTCTTATGCTCTTTCCTGATATTCAGTCTTATGGAGAATGTTCAACTTGAAAGGATTTGTTTTGTCCCTAGGGAAACCAGATTCTAAGTGGCCTCTCTCTGGGTGAATATAAAGCCACTCTGAAGATGATTGAACAGTTTATTCTAGCCACAGACCTGGCGCTGTACATGAAGTAGGTATTGATGATGCTATGTACATAGCCTGTAAGATTTTGCTTACAACCGTGCTTACGGTCACCTTCCAACTTCCCCTGGTTACAAAGTGAAAGTTTTAAGTGTCAAAAACAAACTTTTTTTCAGGAGAAGAGAAGAATTTTTTGAGCTGGTGAAAAACAATCAATTTGACTGGGAGGATAAAGATCACAAGGAGCTTTTATTGTAAGTTAAAAATCAAAAGCAGGTAACCTTATCTTTTAATAATGTTGGCATTACATAAATTAAGACCTAAATGTCCAACACAGCTTTTGATTTTGATAAAAGTTTATTGCAATATCATCCAATAAGTAAGTTAATTTTCTGTAACTTATGGACTTAATTTTTTTGAGTTATTTAATTTTCTGTAATTGGTGCTTGTTGCGTAGCTTCCATTTATTTCAATTTATTCTTTCTCTCAGTGTTCCTGGTTCCTGTTGACATGTGTTCTGCTACAGCAGTAGGGAACCCAGTCCATTGTATGACAGCAGTCCCTCCCCCACCTTAAATCATGTGCACTGCTTAATATAGATTGTTGAGACACATTTAGTGTTCAAAACCAGTCATTAAACTTGATAATAATGAAACATTTTGACATGATAGAAATACAGTTCTTTCTTTCAGTCACCAAATATTTGCTACTACATTTTCCGGGAGATTGTTGGTCAGGGTATAAGGAGAAATTCCCTTTTCTTTTCGAATTATGTATCACTAACATCCACCTAAACACACAGATGGAACCTTGGATTCATCTTATCCAATGGACACCACATTCGACAATGCAGCACACCCCCAGAAACACAGTGGAGTATCAGCTCATAGACTATGAGCTCAAATTCCTGACGTGCTACCAACCGAGCCATGCTGACAGCAGGCAGAATATCAGCTGCAGGCATCTGAGAATTACCTACTTTGCTAACGTAAGAGGAGGGACTTGAAAAGACATTTGTGTTGACACCAGAGTTGTCTTGTGGGAATCATCTTTTCACCTCAGCACTTTCATTCACTGTTTACCAGCTGAAATGGAAGAAGACAAAGCTCTATAGAATAATTAGAGCGAGGAATATTTCCATAGCTAATTTTTTTTACAAAAATAACTACCTGGATTCCTCCAGAGATTAATCCTTACTATTCAGCATTCTGACCCCTGCATGAAAGCTGTCCTGCACCAATTAGTATACCCTTTTCGTTGTCAAGTCATTTGTCAAAGTTACAACAAAAAATCTTGGGTTTCTATATTGGTACAGCATTTAACTAAATTCACTCCTGGTTTTACTGTTGATTGACAGGTCAATGTTAATGACAGCTTGTGACGTGTCTGCAATAACCAAGCCTTGGCCTATACAGCGAAAGGTAAATCAGACAACGAATCTAGTATCACTGTAATAATGGTTTGTGGAAAAATCATCAAGATGGGCCTGTGGTATTGCTACCCACTACAAGTTTACGGCACTGTCATGCAGAATTATTTCTATGTAACATTGCACAGCAACAAAGGTGTTGTGGATGTGTGTGTGTGTGTGTGGGGGGGGGGGGGGGGGGGGTATGTGTGCTCTTCTGCTCTATTCAGTAAATATGATGCACCTTAGAAATAAATAGAATGTAGTTTTAAATATATAATTTAAGTTTGCATGTATTATGAATTGCAATTTATTTATAAATGAACACAGGCAAATCTATGAAACAACAACAACAAATTACGAATTACATTTGTATAGCATCTTTCATGTCAGGAGGACGTCCCAAGGCGCTGGACAATCAGGGATTTGGACCCGAGCAGGGGGTTTGGGATCAGGATGGGTGGAGCCTAGGGAGGGTAAGGGAAGGAGGGTGACCGAAGGAGCAATCAAAGAAGAGGGTTCTGAAATGTGCCTTCAAGGAAGCATGGGGGGGAGCATGGCAAAGGGATTGTGGGATGTAGTTCCGAAGGGTGGGGGCTTGAGAGGTTGAAGGCCCGATCGCTGATGGTGGGGCGGGTCGGGTGGGGGACATGGAGCAGGCCGGAGCTTGCTGAGTGGAGGGAGGGGATAGGTCGATATGGAGTTCAACGTAACCTAATGAAACATAGCACTGCTTAGTTCACATCACAGGATTTGCTGCATGGAGCAGAAGAACTCCCAAGTTATTTAAATTAACTTTCTGTAAAATTAAATTACTTAAATTAACTTTTTTAAAAAAAAAATGACACAGTTGAAACCTAACAATTCATCCACTGGGAAACTGAGACATAAAGCACATGATTGCTGCTGACAATAATTTGTATGCTTGTTTATTTTAATATAAAGCTCATGCTTCCTTACTGGAAAGAATCCAATCAGAAGCCCAGAGTTATTTGTCCAGACAGTAATAGCTCATGTACTTCATGTACTCATTTGGAATAGACTCCTCAGGCCAACGTACTGTGAGGAAGCTCTGGTTTTGCTCAATACCTCTCCCTGGAATTCACTGGCTCAGAAATTATGCACTGTGCATGTGGAGTGCCAATGTGCTGTGCCAACACCCATATATGCACATTTGTATCATGTCTCAAATTAATTGTAGTATAGCCAATACCTCGTTAAACCAAAAGACATTTCTTCGCATAAAGAGCTGTGAGGATGGGCCACATTTAGCCATTGGTATTCCCATATTTTTCACATCAAATGCACCCAGTGGTATAGAATGTACTGGAGATTAATCTACTTTTATGTCATTCTCAGTAGCGATGTCTATAAAGTCTGGAATTAGACTTCTGGCTCATGAATCAGCATTTGACTAGGCAAACCAGGGTACCGTGCTTTTATATAAAAAATGGCAAAATCCCAGTAAAGATCCACAAGCTGTAAGTCAAATGACACGCATGGCTTTCACAGCTATTGCTTTTAAAAACATCTGCAGTCTGCCTCTGGCACATTTGGGTACATCTGATATGATCAATATCAAGCAGAGAGCTAAGTTGACCCCAATGACAAAAGAATGGATGCAGAAGTCCATAAATGCATCAAACAAACAGATAAGCACTTAGGAAAATATGTATTATTGGACTTAGGAAAATATGTATTATAAGTATTATCTGAAATGCTGTACACTGTCCAGCGCCTTGGGAAGTCCTCCCGACGTGAAAGGCGCTATACAAATGTAATCTTGTTGTTGTTACAGGGATTTATAATAATAATAATAATAATCCTTGCATTTGGTATAGCGCTTTTCACGTCGGGAGGACGTCCCAAAGCGCTTCACAGAACACACTGTAAAGTAAATTGACTGTATATTTGTGGGCGAACGCGGCAGCCAATTGCGCACAGCAATGTCCCACAAACAGTCGTAGATTGAAAATGACCAATTTTTTTTATTATTGTTTTTTGTTTTGGAGGGATTATTATTAGGCGTGTGGAGTAAGGAAACTTGCCCAAGGTTTCGCCCTGCCTGGAATTGAACTCCGGTCTCTCACTTGCAAAGCGAGTGCTCTAACCACTCAGCTACAGGACTCCACGATTTGGAGAAAGAGCAGGGGATTTGGATTTAAAATATAAATATCTGCCATGACCTAATAAAATGAGTCTGTTCCTGTATTCCTTGTCTCATCTGTGTCGTTATATATCATAGCCATCAATCAAACTCATTTCCGTAATTGTTTGCAAAGAAAATTGGAAAACTGTCCATGTTGCTTCCATTCTGTATTTTACAGATCGCTGAACTCGTTGCAACAGAATTTTTTGAGCAAGGTGACAAGGAGAGAGAGGAACTGAACATTGAACCCATTGTATGTATCAGAGTCTATGAGCTGCGTTTACTTTAGTTTTAGAGGATCACAACAAATTATACATACAGCTTAATATTTTGCTGCTATTCATGTAAATTTGTTTTTCTGTTTCATTGGAAATACAGTTGACCACCCCCCGTCCCCTCCACTCTCTCTTATAACATAGTGGTTTCAGTCCATACACTCCGAACCTCTTATAACAATCTACACAAAAAGACAATGACTTCCACCATTAGGTCATTATTCACAAGAATGGTCACAAGATCACAAGATTGGTCTTCATGAAGCTATTCAATCTCATCCTCGCAGAACACCCACCCAACTGTCCTCCCATAATTGCGTCAAGCTGCTTTTTAAATGAGCCCAGTTTCATGGCCTCTACCATCTTTACTGACAACTTGTTCCAGTCGGTGATTAGTCTCTGGGTAAGGAAAACATACCAGGAGACTTTCCAGCATTCCACTCATGGATGCATTCTCCATTCTCAGAAGTTCTACCACTCTAAATATATAGATGTAATATATTTAGATTTCCAAAAGGCGTTCGATAAGGTACCACACAATAGACTAATGAATAAGGTCAGAGCATGTGGTGTCGGGGGCAAAATAGCCGAATGGATAGCAAGCTGGCCACAAAACAGAAAACAGAGTAGGGGTAAAGGGTAGCTACTCAGACTGGCAGGAGTTGGGCAGTGGTGTTCCACAAGGATCGGTATTGTGACCACTGTTGTTCACAATATATATTAATGATTTGGATTCAGGAATCAGCAGTACAATTTCAAAATTTGCGGATGACACCAAATTGGGGGGAGTAGTTAATACAGAGGAGGACTGCAACAAATTACAGTAAGATATTAATAAACTTGATGAGTGGGCATTTAAATGGCAAATGCATTTCAATGTAGAAAAGTGTGAGGTGGTACATTTTGGTAGAAGGACTAAGAAAGTCACATACATCCTGGAAAATAAAAACCTAAATGGGGTAGAGGAGCAAAGGGACCTAGGGGTACATGTACACAATTCACTAAAAGTAGCAACGCAGGTTAATAAGGCCATAAAAAAGCAAACCAGGCTTTGGAGTTCATTTCTAGAGGGATAGAAATGAAAAGCAGGGAAGTTATGGTAAACCTCTATAGGACTTTGGTTAGACCACACTTAGAATACTGTGTGAAGTTCTGGTCCCCACATTATAGAAGGATGTAGAGGCACTGGAGAAGATGCAAAGGAGATTCACAAGGATGATCCCAGAACTAAGAGGTTATATCTATCAGGAAAGGCTGAACATACTTGGACTGTTTTCTTTTGAAAAGAGGAGAATAAGGGATGACCTGATAGAGGTCTTTAAAATTATGAAAGATTTTTGATAGGGTAGATATAGGGAAGATGTTTCCACTGGTGGGGAGACCAAAACCAGGGGCCATCAATATAAAATAGTCACAAATAGATCAAATGGGGAAGTTAGAAGACATTTCTTCACACAGAGAGTAGTGGGAATGTGGAACATGCTACCATAAGTTGTTGTTGAGGTAAATAGCTTAGATGTATTAAAGGAAAGCTAGATAGGTACATGATGGAGAAACGAATAGAAAGTTATGCTTGAAGGCTTAGTTGAGGAAGAGCAGGAGGAGGCTCATTTGGAGGATAAACAACAGAATGGACCAGTTGGGCCGAATGGCCTGTTTCTGTGCTGTATATTCTAATGTATTCCAAGCCCTTTCTCGAGTGGTTGCTAGAACGCCAGCAACCCCAGGTGGTTTTCTTGCTCATTTTGTACAGGAAGCCACTGAATCAACACTGGTAGCTAGAAATGAACTGTAGTTCCATGGTTCCCAATGCTGCCGTGCTATAAGTGAACCCAAGCTTGTAGGGTTGCGATTTTTCAATTTCAATTTTTTTTCAGTTTCAATTTTTTTCACCTCTTATGCATTACTTTTTCCACAGGATTTAATGAATCGAGAGAAGCGCGATCAGATCCCCAGCATGCAGGTTGGGTTCATCGATGCAATCTGTATTCAGCTCTATGAGGTACAGTCTGCTAACACTTTCGATCCATGAACATCTCTGTCAAAATTCAAAAAGCAACCACTTTATTTTGTCCACATAAGTATCATGGGAACAAATCTGTGGATATCAATCTAAAGTGTAAACTTAAGGATTTAATAGAAGCTTGCTCTTTTTGATATACAAGAATAGAATAAATTTCCCATTGATAGATTTTCATCCATTTCAAATATTGTACACTGGAGCAGCTTATTGTATAATAATAAAAATTTCAGTTGATATAGAGCCTTTCACATCAGGAGGAGTGTCATCTTAGACTGTGAGTTTAAAGTCCCGATGTGGGATTTGAACCCATCACCTTCTGACTCAGAGTCAAGAGTGTTCAGCTCTTCATAGTTTCTGACTGCTAGAATCTGTTAAGTGTTCATATATTTAGCTACCCTTTTATTATAAAAGGTGACCAGTATTATTTGAAGCAAATATGTATTATTTGAAGCAAACTATTTTAAAACAGAATCTATACTCTTAATTTTGAACCCATTTAAATAATTCTGTAAAAGCATTGATATTTTGTAAGATTACTGGCCTTCTATAATTTTCTCTCTCTCTCCTTTTAGGCTCTAGTAATTGTATCTGAGCCATGTTTCCCATTGCTGGAAGGCTGCAGGAATAATCGGAGGAACTGGGAGATGTTGATTTCACAACAACTGTTTAATGGGGAGAGTAACTGATATTTGGTCAATAATTTTGGACATTTTAGATGACATTGGAGCTGTCTCATGTTCACATTTTTATACTTCCATAAAGCAAGAACAATTAGCTCCAAGCTGATAGAGGTTTTATCTAGGTTGACATTTTCTGTGTGCAGTTTACTAATTGTTTCACATTCACACTCCGTAAAACAAACCTTTCAAATTGTATCTGCTGTTTCCTAATGGCAGAAACAGAATAATGAGGCCCATCTCCATAAAGAATCCAATGGCTTCTCATTCACCCCATTTTTTTTGTAGTAAGACATGATATTTATGTGCATTTAAAAATACAATGTGGAGGTCAAATGTAAATACAATGGTCATTAATTATTCTACAATATTCACTGTAATAAGTGTTTCAGTATTTTCTGACTAATTCTTAGTCCTGCAAGTACTGTTCTATATCATAACATCTTCTGTTATGGGATTTGACGATTAAGCCATGACTGCATGTTGTTGTGCAGTCCCTGTGGAGACATCTTTATTGCACAACCCAGGTATGCCAATGTTCTTGCACACACGCTATCAGAGTGAAAAGAAGCTGTAGCGTGAACTGAAATGTATGTTTTGCCTGGACACAAGCGGACTGCCTTTTCAGTCCCTTCACGCTTTAGGAAAAAATCAGGATTACAATACTTCCATGTGACATTGAGATTTATTCTTCAAAAAAAATCAATTCTTCCTCAAATAAAGTCTGGTGTGCAATATTCTTGCCCAATAAGCAAGCATTGCTGCCTCATCTAATTAAGAGACTTTGTCACATTTATCACAATTTTTCTTCACAAAGAACAACCAGTTTGAAATTTCAAAGTCTTTGTTTCTTCAGTGCACAGTTGATAGCAATATAAATCAGGAACAACACACTCCAAAACTACTTATTTTAGTGTTTGTATTTTGTAAACGGTGGCCAGTGAGCTTGCCTGAGTTATTTTTGCACAAGCCGAATTCTAATCATTGTAACTAGATGTACATGCTGGTATGGTCAAGGTGACCTTCGTAATAGCTTCTGCTTTGCCAAGGTCTTTCCATAGTGTGCCATTATCTTTGCATGCAGAGTATGTTTTAGAAAGTTAGATTATCCCTATGTTGTCGGATTGTTTAAAATTCCACAAATCAAAAGAGTTGGCCCAGATTATCTACAGGGAACATCATAAATGCTTATTCTCTTTGGGACATTGGTGATGTTTGGAACAGTGTTTGTGTAACCTTCTAACTTGCACCTCATAACTGCTTCCTCCAGTATGCACAGAAATAGTTTCCCTGAAGAGATGAAATATAATCATTTGCAAGAATCTTAACAGTAACTAAGCGCAGATTTCCGCAAAAGGACCTGGGGTGGCAAGAGGCAAATTGGATCCGAGTTTGGCCAGTTCATTTGAGAGGTTACCAAGTAGTAAATCTTAGTTTCAATTGAGGAACACTGAAGAAGGTCTGAGGAACCCTAGTGCAAATTAATCAAATAGCAGGGTTTAGATACAAATGAAACACTTGCAATGAGAGAGTACATCTGTAGATCAGCCCTAATTACCAACCCACCCCCCACCCTCACACCCCCTAAAAATGTTGTGAACATTTATGGCTTACTCCAAGAACTTAAGTCTAACCCAAGATATATATTTTTTGTGAATTCCCCTATCCCCTTTCCTCTTCACAATTTGGACTGACCCCTGCCATACTTGGTGGATGTTGTAATGAAAAATATCAAGGTTGACTGCTAGAACATTGGGTACTATAGTACTGTGAGATACTAACAAGTTAATGTATAACATGGGAATAGTCTTTATGGTTTTTACCCTGTTTGGCCCCCATGTCTATTTTCATGTGTGGTATTATGCCAAGATCTGCAAGTAACAGTGCTGTTGGCTTTTTGTGTTTCTTCATGTTTTATGTTGGTGAGTGAATTTTTTGTGTGTTTAAGTAGTAGCAATAACTAGCTGTGTTACATTGGGAGTTGCGGGTAAAAATGTCAGCCTGAAGGTTGAGACCAGAGACTCAGAATTCCACCTCGTCTTCATCTATCAAATAATTTTGCCCTAAAATTCAGTCTTAATTCTGTACGGTCTTAAATTTTAATTCAATGGTATTATAGACTAAAACGATGTGGAATTTCAGGCCTCAGATTCCTCATGTGAATTTCATTCCTCATTTGACGTTAATTGTTTAATCTGCTGTGGAGAAAACTCATTATTGACAAGTGAATCACTGTCTCTGTGTGAATCACATCCTTGTTTTTCTGATCTGTTACAGCTATCACTCCAGCTCACACAGCAAACACTGAATCCCTTTGGCCAGCACAGGCCTGATCTTGTTTTCAGATCAAATAGCTGTTTTCCACTGGTAAAATGTCAAATATATATATTATTTTATATATATATATTATATATATTATTTAACTCAAATAGCACCACAAGATACAAAGCTGTTTACCAGCATTGAAGTTATATGGTTCCTGTTAATAGTTTCAGGAACATCACAATTTTCTGCAGCATCAGTGTCAAGTCTTTCAGACGTATATTGTTGTTACAAATGGGTATAAAATAGATGTTGCTTGCGGGTTATTGCATTTTTTTACATATAGCATATTGTGACAGAATTTTGTTGATGTTAGATTTTAGATTTCAACCTGTTGGCACACTGTCCTCTCATCCTCTGGTATCTGGGTTTTGAATCCTGCCCAGATTGATGGGATGAATGTCTCCTTGGTTATATATCCTGTGTGAAATATGTTTGGGTAGTGTCAACTCAATCCCCAGTGGGTGTTGTCCCATTCAGAACTGTTACTAATTTTATTCTAAAAGAGGAATCTCACTCATTTTATAAGGTTCCCTGATGTGGGAAAGTAAATTGTTGCCTAGTGGAGTGGATGAATGCTCTTCTGATAAATAGGACTGAAACATGTTATTGGGAGCTTAATTCTGTAGTTTCTTTATCACCTCTGATCTGGGAGGGTTTGAGTCACTGGATAACTGAAATGGGGATGTTCTGTTTTCCACAATAACATCTCTCAGCTGGAATACAAAAAAAACACCCTAAAACTTTGCTAAAAATAGTAATTTAATATGTGTGAAATAATTTAGTGACCTGTAGTGTATGTTGACGTGAGACTTGATTTAAAAAATACACTTGAGACACTATGAGATTTGTATTTCTGGAACAAAACTATATCTGGAAAGTTTCTAAGATATGGTTCTTTCCATTTCGGGAAGGAGATGCCTAACTTACTATAACCAGTGAGACTTTGTGACTACTATCCTCCTCAGCTATACCCCTCCTTCTTCACATGTGGCTCATCTCTGTTGACCTTCCAGTTGTTACATTAGTCACTTACTACTCTCCAGAGTCAGACAGAAACCAGCTCCATAACTTTACAGAGCATTATTGTGGAGATGGTATCTGAACCAGAGACCCAAATGTATGAAATGTCTTCAAATCACACGAGGAAGACAACTTTACTTAGTCTCAAATGCAGTCAGGAACTGAGGCAACATTTTGGGAAATGAGGGCCAGAACACAAGCTCATTCCAGAGGAGATTGTCAACCAATGTAATTAATGGATCCAATACCAAGATTTGGATGGGAACAATATCAGAGATGCCTTTTCTGGTTTTGCACTTAGTTTCAGTACTGCTTCTGGACATAAGATGTCACTAGGTCTTAGAATTATTTATAAAGTGCACGAATGGCATGTAATATTTTCATAAGGATACAGCACAAGCTTGTGAATATTTATATTTCTGTTCTGATGATTTTCTCTCACAGTCATTTTGACTTACCTGTAGATCAATATAGTCACGATTAATAATGTGCTTTAGAATGAATTTCTAAAGACGGGTTGATAAAAAACATGCATCATGTATAGTAGGCAAGGTGGAGTGCCAGTCAGGCCTAATCTGAAACCTCAGTGATGTGAAATGTGTGCCACAACATCTTCTTAACAGGTTGTGTGAACACCTGATTAATTTTGATATAACGATAGCAAGTATGTTCCAACTGTTGAAGTCACAAGGATATGATTTTCCAACCATTGATACTTTTACCTACCATGGTTAACTTACAATAACATAAATCCAATGTATTTTCATGCTGACAAAAAAAAACAACCATCAAAAAGAAAGGTGCAATCACAAAAGAAGTTCCGCAAGTTTACCAAAGATCAAAGATTCCCTTCCCCCACACGTACGCACGCACTCACGCACACACACCTAAACCACCCTCCCCTCGATGATTCATTTTTTAAATTAGCTGGATTGTGTTTGCACATCTCTGATTAATCTCCTGAGATACCTGATAATCACAACAATTACAGCAGCTAGTTTTCTTGAAACAGCACTGTTATGTGTGTTTTAGACTTCATTGGCTTGTGTGCTCTTTTTCTAATATGTAGTTACATGGTTCTGTTGGAAAGACATCACATGTACAATAAAGGTTCCAAAGGCATTCAATACAGATACCGCTGTTATTCTATTTCTTTCCTTTGATCCTTCTCACATTTGGTTTATAGCATTTGGAAAGGTTTCCCTTGTGGGTGAACATTTGAAGCCTTAGGTTGTCCAGAGATTGAGGTACCTGTCTCTGGCTACTGAATGGTTCTGTATGCTTTTGGCTCAAGCGGCCGCTATGACTGTAATAAAATGCCTTAAACATCACAAAAATAACAATAATAATGCTTATGTTCAGTATTGTGCCTTTCACGGGAGGATATCTCAAAGCGTTTCACAGGATATACTGTAAAGTGGAGTGACTGTGTATTGTGGGTGAACGATGGGTAAATTATTGTGAAATATAACTTTATATTGTTTCTTGCTACTAAAGTAAATGCAAGAAACAATTTAAAACTAAAATAGTTTTAAATGTTTCATACGGTCGCATTGACATCTTTTTTCCCCTCTGTGTTCTCCAGCGTTCCTGGCAGCACAGCTATTTTCTGCACTCTGCCAGTCCAGCTCACTTCATGTTTCCCCATTCCAATGCCCCACCATCAGTGAGTGAGCTTTCAGCCACTTTGCCCTGACTCCCTGGAACGCTCTTCCTACATCCCTCCACATCCCTCCCTCCCTCCCTGCCTGGCTGAAACCGCCCTGTTCTTCCCTATCCCACCCCCTATCTTCCACCCTTCCCTCTCTGTGGAGCGCTTTGAGACATTTTCCTGCTCTACGGGTGCTATATAAGTGAAATTGTTCTTTTTATTTAGCTATTTTTACTACTTTGTATCCCTCTTGATGTTATCAAAACACCTCAAAGCATTTCACTGCAGTAAAGTAAGATGATTGCATACTTGGAAGCAATTGCGACAGCCAGTTTGCACCAATGTCCCACAAACAGCCATGAATTAAATGACCAATTTTATTGGGGGATTCTTTTCAGGACAATGGGAGAAACTCCCTTCTCTTTTCAAATGCTGTAGGATCTTTAATATCCGCGTGAACAGGCAGACGGGACTGAATCTCTAATGGAGTGCTGGGGGAGACGCCATCTTTTCTTTGGATGAGATGTAAAACCGAGATCCCGTTAATGGACACCTAGGAGTGTTTAAATGACAGCAATGACATTGAGGGGGCTTAGGTGATATTGGAATCTGCGAGATTATAGCTAGAGTGATTTAAAATTGTCATCTGAATCCTGCGGTTACTGACCTGACATCATTCCAGGAGATTTGTTGTTCTCATAACATATACATTTGTGTGCTGATTATCTTCTCCTTCAGGTTTGTGCCATCAGCAGCTGTCAGTGTTTATCCACTGTAAGTTCACACCATCCTGCTGCTCATATCTAGTGACAGTCACACTGAAGGATTTGTGATCCTGTCATTGTTGCTGCAAATCTATGGAGAAATCAGCTGCAGCCTCAGAGGAAATTGTATTGCAGAATAACAACAACAATGAACCGCATTTGTATAGCATCTTTCGTGCTGGGAGGATGTCCCAAGGCGCGGGACAGTTGAGGGTTTTCACCTGAGCTGGGGAGGTTAGATTCGGGATGGGTGGAGTCTAATGGGGGTGGGGATGGCAATGTAACCAAAGGTGCGGTCAAAAGGATGGTCTTTAGATGGACCTTGACGGAGGGGAGGGAAGTTATTATGCTGCTAATTGACTAACAACTGGGTTCCCACTTACTGCTAGGTAAACAGAGTCGTGCATCGAGTAAGGAAACTTGCCTAAGGTTTCACCCTGCCCAGGAATCGAACCCGGTCCTCTCGCTTGTGAGGCGAGTGCTCTAAACAATTCACTACAGGACTCCAAATGCAGTCAAAGTGGATTAGAATAGATAGCTCCAGTTAGGGAAGAAACACCAGCACAGATGCAATGGGCTCAATCATCTCCATTTGTGCTGCAAACTTTCTCAGATTTTATGACTGCAGTGGTATATGGAGTTAAGGACTTTGAGGTTGTGAAGACCAAAACAATCACTCAGTGTTGGCGTACTGGAGGATCTGAAACCCCATCTGTACAAAATACATTAATGAATAAGTCTAGCACAAGGGTTCTCTTATCTGCCGTGAAATAGAGGGTAGAGTAACTGAAACATTTAACAGACAGTATTTTGTTGGCCAATACAATGATTCAATAACACAAACACATGAAAAGGCATTTTAATAGGACCAAGCCACAGAAAATGCTATCCAGGCATTTTAATTGTAATTTGTGACTTGAATAATTTTACTTCAGTACCAATAATACTAATGAATATAATACTAATACTTGCATCAGTACTAATACCTCACCTACAAGTGCTAGACTTGCATAAGAATGTAGGAAACTAGAAACAGGAAAAAGCTATTCAGTCTATTGACATTGTATCACTAAAAGACCAATGCATAACCTAAATACATTGTTCTGCTCTAGACCAACCTCCCCTCCTTCTCACCACACTTTTTTATATTTCTATTCTCCAAGTATCTTTCCATCTCTATCTTAAATCATTTGACCAATTTCTCAAATATGTGCTGAAGAGAATGGTGATTACACATTCATCACCCAAAAAAATTCAGCAGTTCAATCTTCTACGCTATTTTCCCATTTTTAAATCTTGGGTAGCCCAGTCAGTCAATTTGGAAGTAGAAGGTTTGCTCAAATCCCAATGGGTCCACTCAGCCCTTCACATTTTCTGCAGTCAAATTAATAAATGGCACCTCTAAAAACATATTCTCCTAGAGCTGGGCGATGGATGAGGTAAGCAGAAGTATCTCTGTGTTTCAATTGACCCCGAGGTGATATGCAGTAACCCAAGACACCATTGAAACCTGGCTAGCCTGTCTGGCTCTTGAATGAGACTTGGAGATGCAGACATACTATAATGCTACTTGCTGCACTCAGTACGTGTCCAGTACTTATTTTGATTACATGTACAAAATATGTAAAAGAAAAAGAATCAGTTATTTATTTCATTGTAAACAGTTTGCAAAAAAAAGCAATGATGGCACCAACTAATGCTTCAACTAATAGTTTCCTTTGGTATAAAATTCAATGTTTTCCCACTGCTTTTGATCTTTTTCTTTATTAAAAAGGATACAGGTGCTCAAATACTTGGTCTAACCATGGTATTATAACGCAAATTCATTTACTGTGACATTGGGACCACCTACCCACTGTGGTTGTCAGCAACAACAAACTTACGTAGTGCTTATATGAGTCATATACAGACAGAACATCCACCTGGGTGAATATTTACTATTTTAACCTAACATTTCAGTGTCCAGAATTTATCAAAGTCTTAAACCCTATCTTTAATTTGAACCTTTTAAGAATGAGAGAAAACAGGCTTCCAAGTTAAAACTGAATTTATAATAATAATAATCCTTGCATTTGATATAGCGCTTTTCACGTCGAGAGGACGTCCCAAAGCGCTTCACAGAATATACTGTAAAGTGAATTGACTGTATATTTGTGGGCGAACGCGGCAGCCAATTGCGCACAGCAATGTCCCACAAACAGTCGTGGATTGAAAATGACCAATTTTTACTATTGTTTTTGGTTTTGGAGGGATTATTATTAGGCTCTGTGTGGAGTAAGGAAACTTGCCCAAGGTTTCGCCCTCTGCCTGGAATTGAACTCAGGTCTCTCGCTTGCAAAGCGAGTGCTCTAACCACTGAGCTACAGGACTCCACAATTTGACAAATTCTGCAGCCTCTGAAAAGCTACAATAGACTAAACATGAAACCCAAGTGGAATTTCTACCCACCAGTGTCTTTTACGTAAGAAAATGAAGCTTGTCCAGCCAGCAAATATATGTTTACTGTAGGTTGTATTTAAAAGTGAGTCATGTAGCTTAGTGATTAGACCACTCGTGTCGCAAGTGAGGGGACCTGGATTCGATTCCCGAGCAGGGCGAAACGTTGAGCAAGTTTCCTTACTCCACAAGTCTGTTTACCTAGCAGTAAGTAGGAACTCACTTGTTAGTTGATTGGCGGATTGCTTTTCTGGGGGTAATAATCCCTTCAAAAAGAATAATAATTTGGTCACTCAATCCATGATTGTTTGTGGGACACTGCTGTGCACAATTGGCTGCTGCGTTTCACCCAAAATATACAGTCAATTAATTAACTTTACAGTATATTCTGTGAAGTGTTTTGAGACATCTTGAAGAAGTGATAAGGCGCTATATCAAATCAAGGATTATTATAATAATAATCATTTGAATTATTACCTCGAAGGCCAAAAGACATAGCAATTTGTCCGTTAATTCATTTTCTCATTCATTATATTCTCTGAATATAATGCTGAGTTTAATTTAAGGGAGTAGTTTCCTATTAAATAAAAGGGGGGAGGGTACTTAAATGTAAGGCTTTTGCAGGGAAGTAATCAGTAGCACATAAATAACTGGGAAGACATTCATCTTAACAAGCTGCTTTCCTGAGCAACGTTTTAGGATATGGAACGATTACTTTCTGGCGTCTTGGATAGATTTCAGGAATGATTGAAACTGAATAGCTTAATTGCTGGAATGATATATAAGGAATCATGAATCCTTGAGATCCAGAGCATATCTTAAAAATGTATCAAAATATATTTATATCAGTGGATCTGTGAAAATATCTGCAGCAACAAAACCATTGACTGTTTTGCTTTATATCCTGAGTGACTGCCAATTTCAGAAAGATTCACAAGATTTTGGAGAGATCAGAAAACCTAGACAGCTACAAGCCAAATATCACCTGAATGCAGCTATCCCATTCTTCTACCCCCACATTAAATATTTCTATACTTTGGCCCTTCAGATGATGAGCGACAGTCCTATGACTGTACAGAAAAACAGAAGTAAACAGTTGTTACGTTTTTGAGTGAGAAGCACGATTCCAATTGATTTACGTTGCAATAACAACAACAACAACAACAAGATTCCATTTATAAAGCGCCTTTCACGTCAGGAGGACGTCCCAAGGCGCTGCACAGTTGGGTCATGACCCGAGCAGGGGGGAAATGGTCAGGGTGAGGGGAGGGATGGGAGGGAGCGAGAAGGGGGAAGAGAGTCGAGAGGGGAGCTGAAGGCTCGGTCAAAGAGAAAGGTCTTGAGACCGGCCTTGAAGGAGGAAAGGGAGGAGGCGGCGAAGGCACTGGGGGATAGAGTTCCAGAGCCTCGGGGCTGAGAGGCTGAAGGCCCGACCACCAATGGTAGGGCGATTGGGGCGGGGGACGTGGAGCAGACCGGAGCCGGAGGAACGGAGGGTACGGGCAGGTAGGTAGGGGGATAGTAGGTTGGAGAGGTAGGAGGGAGCAAGGCTGTGAATGGCCTTGTAGGTGAGGGTGAGGATCTTGAATTCGATCCTCTGGGGGATGGGGAGCCAGTGGAGGCGAGCGAGGGTGGGAGTGATGTGGTCCCGAAGCCTGGTGCGGGACAGTACACGAGCTGCAGAGTTCTGAATGACCTGCAGCTTGTGGAGGGAGGAGGCGGGAAGGCCGGCGAGGAGAGTGTTCCCATAGTCCAGCCTTGACTTAACTTGCATTTATATAGCGTCTTTTATGCAGGGAAGTGTCTCAGAGTGCTTAACAGTGACAGAGGTTGACGTTGAGCCGGGGAGAGAAGGAGGTGCATGTTCGAAGAGGAAAGTCGATCTGAAGACAGGCATGGAGGCGGCAAGGCAGAGGGATTGAAGCAGGGAGTTCCAGAGTTAAACATGACATTTGTGCCTAACAAGATCTTTTTCACATTCTCTCCAATGAAAAACATTTTCTGCCACTTCATGACCCAAATACTTTTCACCATCCAGAGAAGACCATAATGTTGCTTCTTTCCAAATATCTAATGGTTTTGAAGGTAAAAGTTTGACCATCCCACTCTTGATTGAAGAGTATTATGGAGCATTTAATCTACACCATCTGAGCCGTTCTCAATAGAGAGAAAAAAAACTTAATTGTTTTTGTGTATAAACTGCCTGCAATAACAGGTACAGCACTTATGACCAACAACAACAAGATTACATTTGTATAGCGCCTTTCAGTTCAGGAGGACGTCCCAAGGCGCTGGACAGAGTACAGCATTTCAGACCCGAGCTGGGGTGTGGGGGGGTAAGGGAGGGTAGGGGAAGGTGGGGTGGCCGATGACATGGTCGAAGAGGAGGGTCTTGAGGCGGGACTTGAAGGAGGCTAAGGAGGGAGTGAGGGGGAGTGATTGGGTGATGGAATTCCTGAGATTGGGGGCAGAGTGGCTGAAGGCTCTCCCGCCAATGGTGGGGCGGGTGGGTCGGGGGACGTGGAGCAGACCGGAGCCGGCTGAGCGGAGGGAGTGCGCGGGTTAGTAGGGGGTTAGGCGGTTGCAGAGATAGGGTGGGGCGAGGCCACGGAGGGCTTTCTATGTGAGGACCAGGATCTTGAACTGGATCCTCTGAAGGATAGGGAGCCAATGGAGTCGGGCGGGATTGAGGGAGATGGGGTCACGGAGTTTGGTGCGGGAGAGGACACGGGCTGCAGAGTTCTGGATTATCTGCAGCCTGTGGAGGGAGGAGTTGGGAAGGCCGACAAGCAGGGTGTTTGCATAGTCGAGCCTGGAGGTGATGAAGGCATGAACAAGAGTTCCAGCGGCCTGAAGGGTGAGGTAGTGGCGGAGTCGGGTGATGTTATGGAGGTGAAGGAAGGCGGAACGCGTCATGGTTTGAATGTGGGGGAGAAAAGACAGTTGAGGGTCAAATAAGACACTGAGGTTCCTGACTGGTTTGACCAAAAAACACCAGCTAACTTAATTTGTAAAACAACAGAATTTCAACGCGTTTAACATAAGCAAAGGCTTCATTCAGAAGATGTCCTTTAAGCTTAGCTGCTGATTTCTTAATTTCCCACCATCTTAAAATGCAACGTTATCTCTTACAGCCATTACTCTTAACTTTTTTTCAAATTCTAACTTGGGAACATAGGCACTTGGACAGTATTCACTTGGCTGTACTGAGATTCTGGCAAACCTTCTTTTGGTTCTTGAGGCAATGCTTCCCCCACATTGTTGTTTGATAGCATTGCAGGATCTCAACCAGTCAATGATGAAGTAGCAGCAATATACATCCAAATCAGAATGGTATGGTGGCGTGGAAATGGTGACAGTTCTCTTGCTCTTTTGTATGGCAGAGCAGTAGGTGTTGGTGCATGGTTGGTGAGCTGTTGGACATACTATGACTGCAGTACAATAATCAATGTAGTCACAGTATGTCCATGGAGAAAGAGTGCACACGTTGAATTAAGTAGTTGGGTTGCTGATCAAGCAAACTGCTCTCTTCTGGACAACATCACATGAAAAATAATAATAACCTTGCATTTGATATAGCACCTTATCACAACATTTAGATGTCTCAAAGCACTTCACAGAGTATAATGCAAAGTGAATTATATGTATATTTTGTGGGCAAAACGCAACAGCCAATTGCATGCAGGAGTATCCATGACAGTCGTGGATTGAGTGACTAAATTATTATTATTTGTAAAGTGATTATCACTCACAGAAAAACAATCACTAATTGCCTGGCAACTGTGTTCCAACTTACTGTTGGGTAAATGAAGCCGTGTGGAGTAAGGAAACTTGCCCAATGCTTTGCCCTGCCCGGGAATTGAACCCAGGTCCTCTCACTTACGAGGTGAGTGCTCTAATCAATACACACAAATGGAACTTTACTCCATAATTTCTAACAATATTAAGTGTCTTATTTCATTCAGCAAAGTACTTGATCACTCCCTTATTTTGAATAGGTTCGATTGCTAGCCCATTTTTTCTATAGGCTTTGTTTTAACTCTGAAAAAAATAAGTCACAAAATCTTTGAAATATCTTTATTTTTTAAAAAAAATTCTTATATCCTACAATGACAAGATTTAATTTCAAAACAGTTTGAAAGAAAATAAAGGAATTTCAAGCTTCTGCAGCCCAGTTGTTGCTAAAATATTTTGATAAGTAATCTAAACCTAAAGCTGTTAAATTGTTTCTTTCCCACATTAGCTCTAATAAATATATTTAGCTGATCAGAATGGAGCTCAATTTCACAGGCATGTTTATCTGCCCATTTTATTCTGCACTTTGGCACCAGTGTTGCACTGGTGACATACAACATGCAAGTGTCAAAATGTTCAGTACAAATGCCAGTGCCAGCCCGATTCCAAGAACATTAATGTGAAATTATCTCGAAGAATTTTGGATCACTTTTGCTTCACAACAGTCTCAGTATAAACACAGCGAGTATAAAATCCACCTTTTACTTTCTTTAAGTTATAAAAGTAGCCTCCTGTGCTACCATTCTATTTTGATTGAAAAGAGCCAGATGTCCTAAGAGCTCTTTCCAACCAGCAGAACTGAATGTAGGTGGTCGGTAAATTGTGCCCTATGCTCTGCCACATTTCTTCTCCAAAAGCAGTCAAACAGAATCAGGATTAGTCAGCAGTATATATGTAAACATATACACATGTACAGGTACAACAGTATGCTTTTCCAAACTCTATCACAACACATTTTTTGAACATATGCCATGACAAACATTTTCCAACTATTCATTGGGAAAAGAAACAAAAATAAAAACTGATATCAAGGTATGAAACAAGGACAGGAGAAAATATAATCCAGACACTTTATAGACTTAGTCTTATAGGTATTGCAATGATCAAATGGCAGTAATTCAAATGCTTACAAGACAGTTTACTATACAAGAACAACATTGAACACTTATGTCCCATTAGAGGAATCTATTTTTTTGTATGCAACCATACTGCTCACTTTGTGAATGGTGGTGGTGAAAGATCGAAGCCGGACTTCTTCTGAGTTGTTGATAAACTGTGGTCCCGATTCTTCCCATTTCTCCGGCACCACCAAATCTTTGTCTGTGTAGATCAAAAGATCAAAAGAACCTGAAACCAAAACATATTAAAATTAAGCACAAACAGTTTTGCAGTGCTTTTAAACATGTTGCAAATTCTTCTTGATAAATAATAATAATAATAATACAACGTGGACCAATATTGAAAATAATTTAGAAAATAAATATTGGCAGCAACTCCATACCACATTTTTGTTAAGAGTAGGATCTCTCAGTATTGTGGTGCAGGACTCATTTCTACCATTGACATAATATTTCATAGCAGCTCAAGTAATAAAACAACTCACTAAATAATTACCTTTGACTTTACACAGCTGAATTCAAATTACCCCATGACATAGAGAAGCTTGAACCCTAACCTATCAGTTTATTGCAATGTTAACTTGCACAATATCTCTTGCAAATGGCAATAATACTAGTGTATACTAGACAGTTTACTTTCCAAGAACTCTGAACACTTGCGTCTCATTAGAAGGAATCTTTTTTGTATGCAAGCATACTATTCACTTTATGAATGGTTGTGGTGGAGTAATATATTTACTCTTGAACTAGTGCACTTAATCAAATAAGTGTTTTTTCCAGATTAGTCTGGTTTGGCCATCACTCTTCAAATAAATGAACCTTCTCCAGAATCCGTATGGCTCCTGCTGCCAGTGACATCATCGGAGTGTTTGATAATTGTAGATGATAGCATATCGCGATGCTTCAAATGAGAATGTATTTCCTGCTAGTATTAAAGATGAACCCTTTGTGTGTGTTGAGGATTTGGCAGAGGTACTACTCCTAGACATTTATTCTCATTTCAGTTGGCCTTCTGTGAAACTAAGCTATGCTGAGATGGATGGCTTCACATTCATTTTCTGCTTTATGCTGAGATAGATGGGGCAGCAATAAGAACTAGAATCACCACCCCTGGTCCAGGGAAAGAGCAGAGTTGGCCAGGGTTTCACACTGGAATGTACATACATAAATCAAATAACACCAGGCTCAGCTATTGATGCCTTCTGTAGTCAAATGACTATATGAATAGTAACCATTTGGGTGAATGTTCAAACTAATACAATTTCTCATAAAATATCCTAATCATTATTTAGTTGTCTGGTAAAAGACCAAGTAGTGGTTTCACATTTCTCCACAAAAGGTGAGTATATAGAATAAATAAGCCATTATTCTCTCATCAACTTGTTTTACAGCAGCACTGAAATTGGCTCTGCAGCAGTATAGCTACCTGCTTTCTCTCCCTATGTACTATCACCAGGAGCAATAATAGGAAGAGGAAAGTTTGCTGTAATGGAAAGGTTTTAATTGTACAGAACTGTAAAGAAAAGGATCAACTTACACGCAGTTTCCAACAAAGGCAAGAAAGTCACAGTGGCAGTAATCTGTCTAATAACAGATCGAATTTCACTTTGAATCGCTTTCTCAGTTTTCTCCCTTGGTTGGCTGTCAAGAGACAATCAGACTTTGATTCAATCACAAGTAAAGGAATGTGCTGGCCAAATATGAACCATTAGCCTCAATATTTATTGGTTTGCAAATGAACATTAAAGGCTTAGAATACCAAGTGTTCCAAATATTAAAAACTGAATATTTTGATCAACAGACACAAACTCACAACTTTATAACTCTTTCTTTAATCTCGGCTGCCAGCAGTTCTAACTTGTTGCAGGTTCCCTGGACTGACCATTTTCTTAAACGATAATTAAACTGAGGGAGAAATTCTATTCTAGGTTACCAGTGCAACAAAGTTGGAACAGTTGTCACCTCTCAGCTTTTCTCCTTCCCCTCCCATCATTCGGAGCAGACACAAGCAGCACGCGGGTAGTGACCGGTGTGAGGGACGGAGGCTTGGTTGACGACAGGGGTGAGAAGAGAAACCGGGGGAGAGCGGCTGGGAGCGGATTCGAGGCCGATGGACGGGAGGTAACCAGGAGCGATGGTGGCGGGGAAAACCGAGCTGTTCCAACAGCTCTTAACAGTTGCCTTTAACACAGTTCTCCACTCTATCCTTCTTCGTCTGCTCTCCTCCCTGCTCCTTTCCTGATTTCACTCTTACCTATCCCAATATTTTCTCTTTGTCTTTTCAAACGGTTTTTCCTTCCACCCTCGCAGTCACTTGCAAAAGGGTCTATACTCAGTCTTCTCCTTTTCACTCACCCATGGGTGAAGTGACATCAGACATAGGGGTCGATTTCCACAACTTCACGGATGACACCCAACTACCTCTCCCCTTCTGCCCTTTATTTTAGGACCACTAACATTCTAATATCATCCTTGTCGCCCCCCCCCCCACCCCCACAGATCAAATTCAAGATCCCCAATCCTCAAATCCCTCCATGGCCTTGCCTCACCCCACCAGCCATTCTTCCTCTTCTCCATGGAACTTCAAGCCAAAGTTCCTCCGTCGCACATTTTCCTTCTCCACCTTAATAGCCTGACATAAGATCTCCTTTTCAACTGCACTTTCGGTCATTCTCCCCTCCCATCCCCACAGCTCCCCCAGCCGGAGCTTGGGGTCCCAACGAGCTGTGTAAAACATCCTCCCAAAGTGAAAGGTGCTATATAAACCTAAATTATTTTTGTTGAATGCTAAAAACAATGTTGGTTCTTAAAATAAAGACTTTATGGGAGGGGAAGGGACTATCATGCAGAAATTCTCGCACCAACCCCTGGAATGCAGAATCATTATTTGACACAACCAGTTGGAAAGATGTTTGCAAAGTTTGACAATGGCCTGTTTGTAGAGCTTTAATAATTAATTATACATTTTCACTAAGTAAAACAAGCTGATATTAAAATAGAAGGTCTTTAATAGCATGACATAGATACCTTATCCTCAAATGGATGAATTACAACATGATATGCTTGTGTTATCATACTTGACTGACTGCATTTTATTTTAATACAGGTTTGCATTAGCACTGGTTAAGAAATCAATTTAAGTCTTCCCATATTCCTCAGCATTTTGGTTTTAATGATAAAAAATGAAAAGTGTAAGTACATAGATGAATCAAAGGGCAGGACTCCACCATAAAATCTTAGTCACTGAATAGATTCCACTGATTTACTACAAATATCTATGAAATGAAATGTTCTGCAGGTTTGTATCAAACCCTAATTTTTATGACAGCCTGACTTCTAGATCAGAAAGTACAGTCCAAGCCGGTTTCTGCCTGTAAATACCTCTGTAGCATTATCAATTCAATGTCACCATCAGCAGGAATCAATTGGTACTGCAACCCAAACACTCAGAGCCTTTCTTGTTTCTCCCAGATTATTTGATAATTCCACTAATACAAAATTTGTGAATATAATGGGGATTTAGAAATTCGCAATCAACAACAAATTGGTTTCTGCATATATAAGACACAAAAAAAGGACAAGGAAGCAGAGAGATGGTATGTGATTTGTGACTTTGATCAGGCTCCTCACTCTTCCCAAATAAAATAAACCACGTCATCTTTTTCTTCCTGGCCACCTTTCTCTCTCTAGACGAGCTTTATGAGGAATCAGCCTCTCTATAGTTTGGATTGATTAACAAGGAGATTGTTTTTCATTCCTACTCACCTGTCATCAGTCATGGTTTTGTCGCACTCAATATCAAATTGCCATCTTTCCAGAACCTCATTGGCTTCGATACTGTTAATTACCACCACAAGCCTTTGCACAGAGTGGTTGGATAACCAATCTGAAATAAACAATATAATTAGCACCAAGCATTGATTAAAACCCCCATGTACAGAGAAACAAGATGCCATCCGGGTTATTGAGTCAGTTCTTTTCATAAAGTCAACACTACTGCAAAAATGTAACTAGTTTGGCTTATTAAATAAGAAGTCTATTAAGAAAGATTTAAATCATTTCTATTTGGTGGGCTTCACTAATGCTTTCTGCTGCCGAATCATTAGCAGTTGTTGTGCCACTGCCTTATACGATGTGGCATTGGGGTCACGAAAGTACAGAGTGCAAGTACTGCTAACCATTTTATAGCAAGCAGTGGGTCCCATCACTTTCTCTGTGAACAGCTGGTAAACAGCTGCAAATCACCTGGAAGAAACTTTAGAAATAAACAGATCGGCCTGCCTTTGGGGAAGAAGAATCCAGATGCAATTATTCGTTAGCTGTTCATTGATGTCTGATTTTCTACTGCCTGTTTTTAAGTTGTACAATTGTTTTCTTTGCAGTGGTTACTCTTAGGGATTCTTCTCCACACTTGAAATTTTGTATGAGGCCTCGGTTGTTCACAAGAAATTGTTTCCAGCTGACATCCCCTCGAATTTGATCACAATCAAGGACTTCAATTCTTCCACGGCACAGCCTCACTTGTCAACGGGGGTGGGATTTTGTAGGCCCAAGCGTCTTGTAAACTCAGAACAATTCTTTCAAATACACCGAGGCAATAGGACGAGAGCAAAGTTCAGGTTTGTGCATAGCAATTTTAGAAATGTACACTACAACAAATGGAGTTTCAGGCTAGCTGGGACTGAGGAGAGATAATCTGTGTCCTATAGCTCAAGAATCTAGACTAGTTATAAAGCCAAGCGCTTGATACTAGGGAGTAACAAAGAACCTCAAGTATTAAGTATTTTGATGCAAAACTGTAAAATAATTCTTCTGAAAAGTCAATGCTTTGTTAGTGACAGCAGAAATTTTCAATGAAAATCACACTGAATTAAGCTTACGATTTTTCTATTGGCAGCAACACTACTTTCAACAAATGAAGTAAATTAGATGGTTTGTCTCCCAAGTACGTAAGCATTGGTTTCTGCAGTGGCCACATGTACACTGAACCTGGCGGTTATACAGGGATGTCATGAGCAACATCTGCAAGTCACCATACTTTGCATGACATAAACAGCTACCTACAAACATAATTTCTGTGCTAGAAATTACATAAAATCAGGATTGTAAAATGAAGGTATCAGATATCAGGAAGCCACAGAACTGCATTGCTGTACTTCGGATGAAACATTACAACAACAACTTGCACTTATATAGCGTCCTCCACACAAGGTAGCGTCTCAGAGCACTTAACAGTGGTGGAGCTTGACTCCGAACCTGAGGGAGGTGGCTGTAAGCATGGTCGAATAGGACATTTTTCAGGCGAGACTTGAAAGAGGGGACAAAGCAGAGAATGGAGAATGGACTGATGGAGAATGTTCCAGAGTTTTGGGGTGACATTAAACCGAGACCCCAATCAGGTTGATGTTGAAGATCCCATGACATCATTCAAAAAGAAAAGGGAGTTTTCCCGGTGTCCTGGCTAACAATTCCCTCAACATAAACAATGTTCACTCAATTTATGGGTGTATGTGGGATATTGCTGCGTGCAATTTGGCTGTCCCCTTCACCCACAAACGATATGAAAGGGATTATATCACATGTAAAGATTATTAACTGAAGTAGTCTAACAACCAAGCAACATTCTCAGCTTCCACTACTTTATTTTCTTTGGTCTTTGTTCAATTCAGGTTCTAACACAATTGTCGCCACACAAGTTGCATCATACAGAACGTGAGTGACACAACATGATTATATATATATATTAACTCCTTGACTGTTAAGACCTCACATATCTGGAATTCAGAATTAACTAGACTGGACCCGAAACCCACCCGTGATTTTGTGCTTTAAAAAATCCCCCCTGCATTTTCAAACTCCCCCGGTCAGCCATATGATGCTCATAGATTACTATTGATCGATTTAGCCACATCGCATTGGTTGTGAATACAGAACTATTGTTATTCTTTGTCTATTTTATTGATTTAAAATGCATTTTTATTCATTTTAAATGTGAGGGAGGATTTATCATTACTTATATTAAATGTCAGAATAAGATTAGCATTTAGCCCGAAAATCTGGCTTCCCGGACCGGATCTTCTTCCTCCCACGGGGGGGAGGGGGAGGGTTAGTGTATGAGAGGTCAACAGAAGATGAATGTTCCTTTCTCAATGATAATGCAAAAATTCTAATTGGTTGGTAAACACTACCTTTCAACTGTTCGACTACATTTTTCAGATAGTTGCTGAGAACTGGATCTGTAGTGACGAGTATTGTAAGTCCATATTTCTGTAAATGTTTGAAGGATTCTGCTGGGTAGATTCCACGTTGGTATAAGATGCTGTTGATTCCATAACCTGAAAAATTGAAAGTTGAACAAATTTTGAAAGATTGTTCCATGAAATAATTAACTGTACCTCCAAAGTCTGTCATTCCCAGAACTGGGGTGCCTCAATTTGATGGGTATAATTCCACCCCCTCTGTAAACAGGACTTTTACTTTGTCAAATTGTAGTCTAGTTCCTGAGCCAATTGGGTTCTCTGTACTCCAGAGTACTGCTGACGACAGACCAAACAGCCTGGCTCATCCAAAACAATAATAAATTGGTCATTTTCAATCCACGACTGTTTGTGGGACACTGCTGTGCACAATTGGCTGCCACGTTTCGCCCACAAATATAGTCAATTCACTTTACAGCATATTCTGCAAAGGGTTTTGAGACGTCGAGAAGATGTGAGAAGCGGTATATCAAATGCAAGGATTATTATTATCGGCTAGACTTGGATGGGCACACCAATGACTGGGAGCAGGAACAGTTCCCATGCAGTTCTTGCTAACCGTGCAAGCCGAAGCCCGAACAGCTATGATGGTCCTCGCTGGATCAGCAGCGGGAAGGTTGTCAGGCAGTGCCCTTGAAAGCAAGCAATGCAATTTTAGCTGGTTAAACTCATGCTCTCTACAAATAACTGACAAATTTTAAGCAAACACAAGCAATTGCCCTTCCCCTTCCACCTAATAGATCCATAAACCCAAACGCAATTTTGCATTTATAGCTCCACTGTATATCCCTGTACTCTCACCCACATCCTCTCTCACACTTGTGCCCGTACGCACGCCCACCCGCTCACAGACACTCCCCCCTCTCACTCTCTCCCCCATCACACTCTTCCCACCCTCTACTCCCCCTCACTCACACACTCTACCCCTCACTCACAATCAACCCGCCACTCACACACCTTCTACCTCACTCGCACACTCCATTCCCCATCGCGCACCCCGCATTCCCTCCTCACGTAAGAATCCCTCAACCCCACCTCGCCGCAGCCCCCAGCTCCCTTGTGTCCACAGCACCCACACGCACCCACCTACCCTCTCCTGCCGCCCCTCTCGCACGCGCTCCCTACCCCTCGCGCGCACACATACTCAACCCCCCACCCCCAACCTGCATGCCCCAACCCCCCGCACAACCAATCTCCGCGCGCACCCACCCACTCCCCGCCCCCACACCCTACTCCACTACCCCCCACGCATGCACCCCCTAACCTCCCCTCACCCGCACACCCTACCCCACTCCCTCACTCACACACACTTGACCCCACCCCCTCTCACGCACGCCCGTCCCCACACGGACTCCCCCACAAGCACGCAGCTTGTGAAGGGAAGAGTTGGGAAGGCCGATGAGGAGGAAGTTTCTATAATCGAGCCTTGATGTGACGAATGCGTGGGTGAGGGTTTTGGTAGCCTGAGGGGTGAGGCAGTGGCGGGGTCTGGCAATGTTGCGAAGCTGGTGGTAGGCAGTGCCGGTCATGGCGCGGATGTGGGGAAGAAAGGAAAGTTCCGGGTCAAACAAGACACCCAGGTTCCTGACTGACTTAGTGAGGTTGAGTGAGCAGAGGTGGAGGCTGATGCTGCCAGCGCCCGAGGTGCCAATCAGGAGGGCCTCAGTCTTGCTGACGTTGAGTTGGAGAAAATTGGCCCTCGTCCAGGACTTGATGTCGGACAGGCAGTCGGTCAGGACGCAAGTAGTCCTGGAGTTCAGGGTGGAGGCAGAGAGATAGAGTTGGGTGTCATCCGCATACATGTGGAAATTTACCCCATGTCTGCGGATGATGTCACCAAGGGGGAGCATGTAGAGAGTGAAGAGGAAGGGACCGAGAACAGAGCCCTGAGGAACACCGCACGAGACAGTGCGGGGACTGGAGAAGCCGTTTGCAGAGACAAAGTGGAGGCGGTGTGAAAGGTAGGACCTGAATCAGTCAAGGACAGAACGTTGAAGGCTGAGGTAGGAGAGGCGGTGGAGGATTGAGTGGTCCACAGTATCAAAGGCGGCGAAGAAGTCGAGGAGGACGAGGAGGCAGAAGGAGCTCTGGTCACACATGGTCAGGATGCTATTTGTGACCTTGACCAGAGCAGTTTCTGTGCCGTGGGCTGGACGGAAACCCGATTGGAGGGGCTCACGGAGGGAGTGGGAGGAGAGAAAAGAGCGAAGCTGGGAGACTACGGCTCTCAAGGACCTTAGACAGAAAAAGGAGGTGGGAGATGGGCCGGTAGCTGGATAACTGTGATGGGTCAAGGGAAGGTTTCTTCAAGGTGGGGGTGATAGTGGCTGGTTCAAGGGGGGTAGAACAGCGCCAGATGACAGGGCGAGGTTGATGATGTCGGTGAACAGTGGAACAAGGAGGTGAAGCTGGGATTTAAGGAGAGGGGTGGGGATGGGGTCCAGGATGCAGGTGGTGAGCTTCATGGAGGATATGGTGGTGATGACAGAGGAGGGCCTGAAGATTCAAAGGTGTGGAAGGAAGGTTAGAGTGTGTGGGCAGGGAGGGGGTGGAAGTTGGGGGGCAGTGGCAGCTGAACAGATTCCCTTGATTTTGGACTTGAGGAATTCCAGCATTTCCTCGCAGTGGGAGTCGGAGGAAAGAATCTGCGAGGCGTGGCAGGGAGGGAGGAGAAGCCAGGTGGGGGTGGAGAACAGGAGCCTGGAGTTGCCCTTCGCCTCCAGGATTAACCTGGAGTAGAAGGACGATTTGGCCGAGGCGAGAGCGGAGTGGTAGGTTTTGATGTGGTCCGGCCAGATGTGCCGGTGGACCATGAGGCCGGATTTGAGCCAAGTGCGTTTGGCAGCCCACACCTCTCCCCCCTTCTCTCTCACACACCCACACACCACCCCACACTCTCCCTCTCTCTCACACCCACCCACACACTCTCCCCCTCACACCCCCCCACACCTTTCCCCCCTTCTCTCTCACACACACCACCCCACACTCTCCCTCTCTCTCACCCACCCACCCATACAATCTCCCCCCCTCTCTCTTACACACACCCACACTCTCCCCCTCACACCCCCCCCCACACTCTCCCCCTCTCTCTCACACACCCCCACACATTCTCCCCCCCTCTCTCACACCACACAATCTCCCCCCTCTCTCTTACACACACCCCACCCCCACACTCTCCCCCTCCCTCTTACACCCCCCCACACATTCTCCCCCCTTCTCTCACCCCACATATTCTCCCCCCCTCTCTCACACCCACCCACCCACACAATCTCCCCCCCTCTCTCTTACACACACCCCCCACCCTCTCCCCCTCTCTCTCACACCCCCCCCACACTCTCCCCCTTTCTCTCAACCCCCACCCACTCTCTCTCTCCCCCTCTCACCCCCCCCACACGCTCCCTCTCTCTCACCCCCCACCCACACGCTCCCTCTCTCAACCCCCCCACACTCTCTCTCACCCCCCACCCACTCCCTCTCTCGCTCACACCCCCCCTACACTCTCTCAACCCCCCCACACTCTCCCTCTCTCAACCCCCCCACACTCTCCTTCCCTCTCTCACCCCCCCCCACTCTGACCCCCCCCACTCTGACCCCCCCCACTCTGCCCCCCCCCCACTCTGACCCCCCCCCCACTCTGACTCCCTCCCACTCTCCCTCTCACTCCCCCCACTCTCCTTCACTCCCCCTCCCTCTCTCAACCCCCACTCTCCCTCCCTCTCTCCCCCTCTCCCCTCCACACTCCCCCTCTCACCCCGCGCCACACACACACACACACAGACACTCACTGAAGAACTCAGACACAATGGCCGCGCTGCCCCTCAGGGTGATGCCCTCTCGCGCCGCTTGTTTACCCGCCATCTCAACGTTCAAACTGCTCGCCACTGCGCACGCGCCCCGGCTGCCGCGCAGCCGCATTAGCGCAAGCAGGACTGGGCATGCGCGCCAGCTGGGCCTCCGAGCCGCCGCGGTGTGCTGGAGCGCTGGTCCCGGGGCGGCGCGGGGCCGCTCGGGGGGTCACTCACTCCGGTGCTTTGCAGATGTCAGTGCACTTCACACACACGGAGAGCGATGGAAAACATATGGCGCTGCTTCAGTCTGTTCATATACTGACTGCCAACAGCACAAGGCTGCGGCCCACACCACACCCCCGCCTCGCCTCGCCTCGCCCGCACCCCCATTGCCGGGGGGGGGGCTTCCTCCACTCTGCCCCCACCCTCTGGAACTCCATCCCGCAGTCCCTCCTCCCTCACCCCCTCCCTCCCTCCCTCGCCCCCTCCCTCCCTCGCCTCCTCCCTCCCTCCCTCCCTCGCCTCCTCCCTCGCCCCCTCCCTCCCTCGCTCGCCTCCTCCCTCCCTCGCCCCCTCCCTCGCCCCCTGCTTCGCCACCTTCAAGACGCACCTCAAAACCGTGCTTTCGATCTCCCCCCCTCCCCCTCCCCCCATCCCGACGCTCAGCTCCGGTCCGTAACTCTGTCTCTGTCTGTCCAGCGCCTTGGGTCGTCCTCCCCATGTGAATGGCGCTTTACACATGTCATTTTGTTGTTTTGTTATTAGGTTTGGAGTATCTTTTAGTGCGGCAAACCTGTGATGTTTGCAACACATGATATCAGGACAAATGATGTCAGCACAACGTGTTTTGAACAAATGCAGACAAGACAGGTCTTTTTCCAGAATTGTTTTTTTTCTCTCCCAAGTTTGTGCTGCAGGAACATCTCATCTAATGGAGTCCTGTAGCTCAGTGGTTAGAGCACTCGCTTTGCAAGTGAGAGACCTGAGTTCAATTCCAGGCAGGGAGAAACCTTGGGCAAGTTTCCTTACTCCACACAGAGCCTAATAATAATCCCTCCAAAACTAAAAACAATAATTAAATTGGTCATTTTCAATCTACGACTGTTTGTGGGACATTGCTGTGCGCAATTGGCTGCCGCGTTCGCCCACAAATATACAGTCAATTCACTTTACAGTGTGTTCTGTGAAGCGCTTTGGGACGTCCTCCCGACGTGAAAAGCGCTATATCAAATGCAAGGATTATTATTATTATTATTATTAATGCAATTCGGCCAGAAATTGAACATTTTACTATGCCTGGATGGATGGCATGTTCCGACTTTGTACTAGTGCAAATAAATAAATCGGAGCAATATCACAAGATTGAAATTTTTTCACGGGTTTTAGATATATACCATATATCCGGTAGAGCAATTGATACCCGCAAAGGCTCCATTCCATGCTGTAATTCCTTTAATTCTATATGGTCAGTTAGCCTTCAGGCGTTTCCCCCAGACTAAGCTATCGTGTGAAATCCTAATGTACATTCAAGTGTGCTTTATTTCAGCTTTGCTCAGTTACTAGTACTATTGCCTCTGGGTCATGAGATTGTGGATCAAGCTCCACCTTAGGACTTGAACTCATAGTCCAGGCTATTACAGCAACTAAAGGAGTCATTGGAGATGCAATAAAGGGAGACATTAAACTGAGGTCACATCTGCTTCTTCAAGTGGATGTTAAAGATCCCATAGCACTATCTTAAAGGAGAATGGAATTTCTTCTGGTGTCCTGGCCAACAATCCTCCACAGCCTTCATGACAGTTTGTGGGACATAGCTGTGCTCACACTGATTGGTGCACAGTCACTGCGCTTGACAGCTTGTGAAATACTTTTAAGATGTTTCAATGTTATAAGTACTTTTTTTGGTCAGCCAGTCACACATATGGAAACCTGTCATCAAACTTAAAAGCATCCAAACCAGACTGAGAGTTCTACATATGTGTACCTCCACATGTTAATTTCCTTGTGTCTGGAATGGAGTGTGCACTCTCCCTGGAGGGATACACCTTGCTTACTGAATCCTGGAGAATATTAGGAGCAGATTGACTGTATAGTTTGCTATTGATAGCACTGTCTGGCAATCTTCCTGCTGCTTGTTCAGCTAGAACCATCTTGCCTGCTGAGCGTTATTATCAGATGCAAGTATTGTTATAAATATTTTCAGTGGAAAAAGTTCTGTGGCTAATTGTCAAGAAAAATCCAAAAAAGAAGATTTTAAAGACTTGCATTCTAAATACATAACAAAGAAAGCTAATGTAAGTGATTGTTGATTGATGGTCTATTATCTATATGCAGGGAGATTTTACCCATCCTAACTGCATTATAGCCTTGTGACACTAATATAAGTTCTTTAACTGAGCATGGAACATCCCCAGAGACATGAATATGAGACCTGGGGTTGAACTTGATCTGAGGAGACATACCTAACAAAGCCAGACAGGTCTGCAGTAATCTAAGACACCTCCTGGCAGGCTCTTCAAAGTGAACTAGAGGCGCAGGCGTATCCTCAACCCTGAATGCCAAAGCTCCAATGGGTCGGGTGATAGTGGTTGGACAAGTACCACAAAACTTAGCATTGCTTCATACGAATAAGCTGTGTAGTTACCATAACATAAAGTTCATGTCTCGGGAGTTTGGTATGTGATAAACAACAGCATCACTCATTTTGACTGATAGCATGGCCAGCAGTAGATGTATTTTTAAGAACACTCATGATATTTGTACGATGACAAGGAGTCAAATTTTTTGAGATTCAGCCAGATTGAGGTGTTATTAATGGGCCGTAGTGCCCTTGGGTTAGGGAGTGGAAAATTGGCCACGGTGCCTGCTTCTTCTCATGATTCAGCAATCCATGCTGAAAATGTGCCCATATGAAGGTAGTGTAAGGTCAAAGTCAAACTCGGCTGTGATGCTGCTTAGACCTGCTGACAGAAGGGCTCACATGTGGATAATGATTACCTGAGTGAGCTAGTGGAAGGTAAGTTGCATCTGTGGTACTGAACCCCAGTGTGAGACAGGATCTTGAAGAAAGGAAAAGAGAATAGTAAGCATTAAATGAATTCCAATACTTCAGAATTGAATTGACAACAGAGATATTCGGATTAAAATGCTGTATATGCTATGTGGATACATTAAATAAAAGAGATCCCGGTGAAAATCAAAATGATGTCAAACTGACCTCTATAAACTTTGTGATCCCCTTTCTGTGAGATGCCCTTTTGATTACCAGTAGAATTCCCATTTTAGAATCAATGCCGCAAAAACAATATTGAGTCCTGTAGCTCAGTGGTTAGTGCACTAGCCTCCCAAGCGAGAGACCTGGGTTTGATTCCCGGCAGGGTGAAACTTTGGGCAAGTTTCCTTACTCCATACGCCTGATGATAAGCCCTCAAGAAAAAAAAATTGTTCCAATCCACGATTGTTTGTGGGACACTGCTGTGTGCAACCGGCTGCCGCGTTTCAACAACAACAGCAACAAGATTACATTTGTATAGCGCCTTTCACGTCGGGAGGACGTCCCAAGGCGCTGGACAGTGTGCAGCATTTTGCCCACAAATTCACTTTACCCTATATTCTGTGAAGCGCTTTGCGATGTCTAAAATACATTATTATTATGCCTTTTTAACCTCAATGACTGCTTTCAATAATTTCTTCCTGGATTACAAAAATTGATGTATACATTGGTCTATCTTTCAAACTACCGTACTTCCAATTCTGGCTGATACCAGAAAATAGTTATAATAATCCTTGCATTTGATACTTATAATGTAAAAAAAATCACAAAATATTTCCCAGATAATTGCTGTCAAGCGTAGTGATTATTTTGTAGGTAAACTCAACAGGCATTTAGCACCCAGCAAAGTCCCACAAATAGCTATGCAATGAATCATCGATTTATTTGGAAGATTGGTTGCCAGGACAGTAGAAGAGATTCCTCTCTTTAGGGGGTTTACAGCATAGAGGGAGGTCATTGGACCCATCGGACCTGTTGTAGTGGCTTTACTGTTGCATCAACTAAGCTCTGCTAATTCAGCACAGACCAGGGACTGAAAACTCGCCTATATTTCTTCCTACTCATGAGGAAAGCATCACTTGTAGTTCTGACTGAGAGTTGAATTTCACCATGTGAGGAGCAGTGCTTTCTATCCCAGGGTTTACCATTTCATGGTAGTCTGTTACATGTCAAACCGTGCTGTCACCATGTCTTTTCTTAAGCCTGTTTTTTTCTTTTGAAATACATCATGATTATTTTTACATAGAATGAATTGTGTGAAATCATTTCCAGACAGAAACCATTCATTTTCAGTTCAGCGGGGGAATAGGCTTTACGTTGATTTAAATTATTGGTTTTTACATAATCACCAGAAATCTCATTCATGTTGCATATTTCAGCACTTTATATAACTCCTACAACCTCAGAAATCTATACAAATTCACTGGATTCACTGTTGTTCAATACCTCCCAAGCCTTTTATGAAGAAAAGAACAGGAAGCAAGAAATTTGAAAAAAGTGATAGATCTCAATGGGTCAGTAAATTGACCTAAGGATAAGGCTGAGTTCTAGAGACTGGAAATTAGCTGATCTCACTGGGACAGCAGAACATGCACTACAGTTTGTTTCAGTGCCCTAAATTAGGGAGAAGCAAGTCGTCATGGGATTGTGTCATGTCCACCTGAATAGACAGCCATGATCTCAGTTTAGCATCACATCAGACAAATGGTACTTTTAACAATACAGGTCTCCCCCAACACTACTAGTGCATTAACCTTGACTGACCATCCAATGCATGTATAAATGTTTGTATGTGGACATCAAGTATGGGCTTTTGTGATAGATAGGAGACATTTAAGAGGGGACCTAATAGCGGTGTTTAGCATTATAAAAAGGTTTGATAAAAAAAATTGGTCACTCAATCCACGACTGTTTATGGGACACTACTGTGCACAATTGGCTGCCACGATTTGCCAACAAAGTATTCAGTCAATTCACTTTACAGTATATTCTGTAAAGCGCTTTGAGACGTCCGGAAAACGTGATAAGGTGCTATATCAAATGCAAGGAT